TTAATAAAAAAACGATTATAAAAACATTTGATGAAAGTTTCAAGTATGTATGGTAATTATATTTTGTTAAAAATTGGATTTGCGTAAAAATTTCCCTTTTTCCTTAATTTTTAATAGGTATTAACTAAATTTAATTTAATATCCAAAATATATTTTATACTTGAAAATTAAAGCATTTTATCGATAATTTCTCGTTTATTTATTCAAAAAAAAAAAATCATCATGATAAAATCAATACATCGCGCCGCTCAGAATCTTAAAAAGTTATATACTTATTTTGTTCATAAAATATTGAGTTAATCAATAATTTGTTGATTTTGCTATGTATTTAGTTATTACATAATATTAAAATTAAACTGATATTTCATTTATTATCATTATTAATATAAAAATTTTTGAATTTTATTAGATCTTACATGATTGTTCTAAGAAGAATAAATACATGAATATAAATATAATATAATATTTTCACTTAGATAGATATTTTTTATTGTTTTATCTTAAAAAATATTTGTTCAACTTTTAAATCAGAACTGACATTTGATAAAAGTAACGTTGTATTATTCAAATTCAATTTAATTATACAAGTAATATCAGTCTTATGTAAAACGAAAAGTGTTTTTACGATCCATGTGTCTGCTTCAGATCAAATTGAAAACTGATAAAATCCTATTTGATATATAGCCTGCCAAATATCATACATTTCAATTTACTTTAAGTTCATATCTTGTTTGATTATGCTTAATATTTAACTAAGTTAGAATTTACTGTAAAAGAAACGATTCGTTTCATAAATAAAATACAATCATGAAAATATTGCAAAAAATATACTTAATGTATATAAATTATAAGCTAAATCTTATTATGAATATTATGCGAATAAATATTCTAAATAATTACAGTTGAACCTCGATTATCCGAAATAATTGGAATCCCACCTAGTTCGGATATGCAAATATTCGATATCGGAAATTTAAAAAAAATTAAATAAACAAATTTCAAAAGTTTTTCTTTTCCCTTGTAGTAATTTTTATTGCTATTCAAAAAATATTAATCCTGATTCAACACAATGTAAGGTATTAAAAATTGTATTAATAGTAATTAATATAATTACTAATTAATTTAAAGTAATTAAATTTTAAAATACTTTTAGGAATAAAGGCTTTAAACCGTCTTCCCTTAAAATTTGACATATTCAATACAGCAACCTTTCTGAATGGTGGAGAGATTCATACTAATGAGTATAGTAACTTTGCCGGAATAATTTATAAACATTTATTACAATATCAGCTTTTTCATAGAATATATAGTTACGATATGAATAGTTATTTGGTGTTTTCATTATTTTTCATTATTAATATTAAAAAAAATATTAATTTTTCACCATTAATATTCAATATTATTATTCTACTATATTTTTATATTAAATTGAAATAAATATCAATTGCTTAGTACTCTTTAAATAATATAATTGTGAATTACGTTTTATGTTTTCATTATAGAATTTTATATATTGAATGGTATTTATTTTAAATAACTGTTAATTATAGGTTTTAATAATGTCACTGCTGCAGACACTTTCTAAAATGTTTTTCTTATATCTTTGAACATCTGATAAAATGATTGATAAGTTTTTATAGGTAATTATAGAAGTAACATGTGTTTTAAAAGCTCTTCCTCTAAAGTATTATATAAATTAGTCTTTAGTCGTTTATAACTATTAATTATTTAAAAGACTACTTTTAAAGCACTGTGTATTCTTTAGTTTTTTTTTAAGAATTAAATTTTTATTTCTTATTAAATATTATTTTAATAGATTTTTAAAACAGATATAATAAAAATATTTTTCTAAAAAAATTTGAGAGGTTTTTAAGAAACAAATTACAAATTAGTATATAGAAATATTTTTCTTCGTGCAGTATCTACATTTTAAGGAATCTTTGGTAAAATGCTCTATATATTTTTTATACATTATTGTTTATGGGTAAACAGTGTTTTACTATTATACTTCTAATTTGTTAAAAATATTGGAATTTAAACATTTACTTTTTTGTATCACTTCTAGTAGCATAGTAAAAATGTTTCAATTTTTAACTTTGAAGGTGAATTCTAGTAAGAAATCGAATCTTGTTAGCACGTTAAGTCAAAAGTAAAATAATTTAGATATACTCGAAATCTACTGTACTGCAGAGCGACTACCCTAAGTTTTTAAAAATTGAATTTTCTCAATTTTTACTGATAATATTAGTCAATTATTTATTGTCTTCGAAAAATCGTTATTATCTACACGATTAAAGCGACGTCCACATAATTAAAATATTAAAGTCAACACTGAGTAGGTATAAATAATTCTATTGATTCAAATATCTGTTAATCTTACACGACTTACTTTATTTGAAGTTGCCTATAAAGCTTATTAAAAACTCGTACTTATAATGTGGGTTGTAAAAATCGATTTCGTTTTACATTTATTCCCATGTAAGTTGAACAAGAGACATCATTTCAACTTCTATTTAACTTGTGTTTTTCTAAGTGCACTTAACCCTTATTTTCCATTAGCTTTTAAATTTGTTGTTATGTGCATATTATGCATTTGCATTTTTTTTTTGTATTTGTATTATACTATTAATGTAATTTATAAAAAAATGCAAGTCTACAAACATTTTACATAAATCATAAAAAAAGAAAAAAAATTTTGTTTGTTTCCCCGGAATTTATTTTACTGTTATATTTTAGTTATAGTCAATATTTTAAATTCAATATGGTAAAGTGTAAAGAAAAAGTGAATTAAAAAAAAAAAAAACACTGTTCATCACATTTGCACAATACTAAATTTTTGTAAAACTAAAAACGTTTAATTAAATAAACTAATGTTTTAAAAACATTTTACATAGTGTCAATTTCAAAATATCTAATCTATTATGAAAGTTAAATGATGTGTATAACTAGTTAATTACTTGTTCAGCAAATTTTTAATAAAAAATAAATATGTATACATATTTTATACGGTACAATAGTCATGTTTTTTCTTTATAGCTTGTGACTTACAGTTTAATGTTGTAAATTATTTTTATATTGTTTTTATATCAAAATGATTTTAACCAAATTTAGTTTATTTTATTCCATTTACAACTTATTTTATGATTACAGATGATAAAAGTTTTGACTATATTTAATCCCTTAAAATTATAAGCTATGCTACAGTTTTGAATGTACATTATATTATATATTATTGTTAGGTTTTAGATTAGGTTATGTTAATTTTACGTATAACTTGTTACATAATATACAATATAAATTTGTTATTCATAAAACTTTTTAATATCATTATAATTATTTGAATTTTAATACTTAAATAGTTTTAATAAGTAAAAAGGAAATAGTCACACAGTTCGTTCCGAGTAAAATATTATGTTAAATAGTTGATTAGTTGAAGTTGAATCAATTTAACCACACAAGTTAGTTAGTCCTGACATATCGGTGAACGCCGATTACAATATTGAATGAAAATAAGTATGGTTATTTTCAATAATTTTTATCTTTTTTTTTCCATACAGTATTTTTACATCGGCAGAATTGTTGTTTTCATCAAATATAGGCCATTTAAGACGAAAATCAAAGTGACATAAATGTTTGCTGAGATGAAAAGCTAATATTTAGTAACCACAGTCATACATACCGCAATAATTTAAATTTAAAATACACTGTATACATTGTATATGTACATAATCTATAGAGACAGATTTTTTTATCACATCAATTGTGGTATTGAGTACCGTGTTAGTAACTAGTAACTACTGTCTACAATTTACCATCATAATCTACGCCTTGAATTACATATACTATATTAATTGTATGTTCCTAAAGAATTTTGTGGTTTACAGATCGAATGAAGTATCAAGTGTAATACACATTTATGATAGAAACACCGTGGTTTCCCTCACATAATAATAGTACTTATTGATATATTTCACAGTGATTGGCGTTTATATGTGCGCGTGTAGTTAAAAGTAACGTTTACTATTTGCAAAAATAAACTTATATAATTTTTTTATACTTAAATTTTAATATATAATTTATCATATATATTTTATACCTTGTGTATTCTGAATATACACGTACGAAACACTAATTTCAACATAAATTCTATTTAAGTCTTAAAAACTATTTGTATTAATTTTTAAAGTTTTTAAATATGTAAGAATTGTTCATGAGTTAAAATTACTTATTATTGATGAAACTGGTAAGACCTATTTATGTTATGTTATTAGTCTTAAAAAACACTACTATTTACATATCAATCTAATGATCCCGGCCACCGGTGCATAACTAGAATGTTGATTTAACAAGCACCCTACTCCTGCCAATTTTTGTTTTGTAACGCCAATGATGTGAACTCTCTGATTCCGATTGTTGCAGTAAGCCTTTATAGCCTAAAAAGATCTCAAACTTCTCAAAGGATGTCACTGGAATGCAACCCAAAGTGACTTTTTTTTTTCTTTTAACCGATAGAAGTAATGTTCCGATTGGTTGACATTCTGTTTATTAAGTGACAATACCATAATTTTTTTTTTGTTTTTAGTACAATTTTAAAACATAGATACAAATAGAAAATTGAAACAATTTTTCATAAATTTAACATGAAAATAATTTTATTTGTTTGGGCTTTACAATATACATAATAATATAAAATTAAAAGTATACGGTTATAATAAAAAATTTAAGTAATATATTCTTAAATTTTAAAACCTCCAACAAAATATTACCTTTCTTTTATTTAATATTTCTCATATAAATAATCAATAAGTAATAACCTATGCTTTTATCTTTTTTTTTCAACATTACCTGAGTATATAAAAGCCATTTTTGAAAATGTATTTTCAGTTATAAAAGATTCAGTCAAACACTAAAAACAAAATGCTATGTCGAAAAATAAATTATACATAAATCAAGATTTATACGTATTCCTGTAATTAATTAATATTTTTATCTTGTTTCAGGCTTACCGAAGAGAAATTTCAGCTAATAAACGTAAGTTTTTTTTTTAGATTTTTAGTCTTTTTATAATAATATTATCAAGTTTGTTAAATATGCAAATTGTGTTCATTTAAAGAAGTATCTAGCGTAATTTCCGTTAGATCTTAAGAAAATATCATTAGTGAAAGAATTGTCTCTAAAAATTAAATAATATTGTTTTTTATAATTGTGTACAATTTAATAGCTTTCTAATAATTAAATATTTTACACAAAAAAAAAAAAAAAAAATTAAAACTTATTAAATGTAATAGTACTGTAGTTATCCACTTAATTTGTTTTCATAATCTAATTCATTATGTAAGTATACATAAATATTTTATAAACTTGCTGAAATTATTAATTGTGCAATTCGCAGTGGTGTTATGGAAGTTTTTGTTTTATATCTGCTCATGTTTAATTTAAAATCAATTATATGTTTTAAAATTCTCGTGTAAATAGGTTAGTATCTATCTACCATCTATTATTATTTATGCCTGAAGTATTAATGTAACTTTGAAAATAACAAAATTACTTTTTATACTATTTTAAATATTTTGTTATTTATAATTTTATAGTGTACATATTTTTATACTATTAGAATAGGAATAGATTTTTATCATAAAGTAAATTAAATTTTAACATATGGTAATATTGTTATAACGTTTAAAGTTGGAGAGAGGCGCATTATATGTCCAATGTCCATGACTCCATAAGTGATGCTATCTGTATATGATGGCTATTATCAAATCCTTTCTCTAGGTATGTGTCCAGTAATGAAAGCCCTTTTGACCCATTACATCACAATCGGAGGTGTTTAAAGAGAAATAAATATTACATATTTTTATTTCAAAATTATCTCGACTTACCTATCATAATTCTTTAATTATCTAACACTGCGATTGATAATTTTAAAATTACAAGTTCAATTCTTGAGTATATTTAAAAAATAAAAATAATTTCTATCTTTAATCATTAGACAATGGTATGAAGAAAAAAAAATACACTATTTAAAAAAGTTTATTTATATTAATTTATTAGTAAAAAAAATATATTTTTTCATTACATATAATAAAAATAATATATATTATCCTTATTTATTAATTATGATGGAGTATGGTGTATTTTTTCTTCTTTTTTCTTATTATTACATAATTATATATATTATTTTATTATTATATACTCTGTACATATTGTAAAATATATTAGTGTAATTAATACACTGTATTATATTATGCACCAAATAAATGTATTAGAAAAATAAATAAATTGAATAAAATTAAAAATAAATCTTCTATTAATCAAAATTTGATAACAACCATAATACTATGTTTGAATGAGGTATATATATTTATAAATAAAATCAAGGCGGTACTTACTACTTAGATACTAAGTCGTGTATTAATTCAAAAGTAGTTTTTTTTTTTTATTTATTATTTATCGTTATTTTTTTTTTTTCATAAGAAACACACGTACAAATGTATGAACGTATGCTTATTTGTCTTTAATAAACCTATTTATTATTGTATCTGAGTGGTGTTTAGGCATAGTTACTGAGAGGTTATAACCATCATTCATCAATTTTAACAATAAAAAAAATCACTGATAAAATATTAAATTGGTAAATTTATATTAAGTACCTATCTTTTTATAAATCTGTAAGTAAACATAATAAAAAAATAAACTTTTGCTAATGTTACTTTGATAAATTTTACTCTGATACACTCTTGAACTCTTGTACTTACGTTAGTTTTAAACATTACTTCCGTATAGACGGTATACTATTCAACACATATTTTTAATAACATAGAGAAAACCTTAATTGAATTAATTTTGTTAAAATGTAATATATAATATACTATATAGTAATTAGTATGTTCACAATATACACATTATATACAATATAAATATAAATTATTTCATGACAAATAAACCAATCATATTTTTACTATGGTTATTATACCATATTGTGTTATATTTTTATTGATTAACTCTTAGAATTTGTCTTATATAATTCTTATCTTTTTATTTAATTTGAAAAAAATAATGTCTTTAAATCTTTGTTTAGTACGTTCGAAAATATTTTCAACTAGAATAATTGCCCAAACGCTCTTTTTCTTTTTTTATGTTGAATTTTATACACTTTAAAACTTAGTACTTATGAGTATAGTTTTATTAATTACTAATTAATTTTTTAAAACACCGCTAAAAGTTGAAAAGAATGATGACACGTGCATTATTAAATATTAATGTGCTTCATTATTAGATTTTTTTTTTAATATGCAATTTTTATTTAAATCATTTTAATCATAATATTACATAAGTACTTCTGTAGGCTCTCACGCTTTTTCTTATTGATAAAATAATTATAATATCTTTAACAACTCTTAGTTGAAACTAATAATTGAAAAATTAATGAAATATAATTCTACTTTTCAAAACCTTAATATTGAGACGATTAAAATGAACACATAAAAATTTCATTTTGTCTCCTTGAATAACCGTTAATAACTTTGAATAAACTTTTCAACGTCCAAAATATATTTTTATATTTAATTAATATTATAAATTATTAATATTTCCATATTCCCATTCAAAGAAATTTCGATTCGGTAATTATGTTGGTGTATAAAATATACACACCCAAAGTATTGTGGTAAATACTAATTCGCCTGAAGTCATTGTGGACGCTTTCGTTAAAAAACGACAATCGATTTCCGGAGAGGCAGTCTGGGAGTAATCGTTAAACCATTACATAAACTCAATCTCAGAACTGGATCATGAATCGTTTGAGACACTGAGACAATGTACTAGTTTCCGTTCTTGGGCTTATTTAAATATTTATTGTAGTATTTCTCTAGTCATGATTATACAACTAGTAACTATCTATAATGAGAAACTTTATTAGAAGTGGGTAGAATCGGTAATGACGTGTACCTAAATACGTAGTATAATGGAGGCGTCATGTTAAACATGTTAAACGAAAGTGTTTCATGGTGTGACCACTATAAGTGTGGCCAAATTTTATTTTTATTAACTTTCATGGTTATTTATTTTTTATTTTTTAGTCGTTATTTTCCACATTTTATAAAAAAATTTGAAAATAAAGATGGCGGATTACCTTTTATTTATTTACCTGTTAAACATAAACTATAAGTATGATTGGAATATTTGATTACTACAAAATTGTATATTCATAATTCAAATCTAAAACAGATTCTTAACTTTTATGTATTTACTATAAATAACAGAGAAAAGGCAAATTTATTCGTTATCCATCTTTCTAAAATCTTTCAATTACATACCAACGTAAACCCTAATGTAGTACACATAGAAAACGTCCAAACTTTCCTTACCAGTTCATTATCTATGGATTTACCAGTATAATCAACCACGTCTCATAAAATAAAGACTCTGATTATTACAAAACTACACAAAAATAAATCTCCCAAATATGATATAATAAATAACAAAATACTTAAAAAGTTAACTAACAAAGCTATCCTTTTTCTGACCCATATGTATAATGCATTGTTTAGGTTATCCTATATCCCACCAATATGAAAATTCTAAACTATCATGCTAATTTCTAAACCTGAAAAATCAAAACATTTAGTAACTTCATACTAGCCTATAAGCCTATTATCGATATTAGATAAACTCTTTGAAAAGTTACCATTTCGAAGAATTACCTCAATCACCAATGCAACAAATACACATCGAGTCACTGATAAAATATCGTCGTCATTAAAAAAAAAAAAATATTTCAAAGATGTATTTCTTTGCATCGTCCAAGCATTCGATGGTGTCTGGTAAGATGGTCTATTGTTTAAATTAAAATCGTTTCTACCTGCTCCATATTTTTTTATACTAAAATAATTTTTCGAAGACCAATTCTTTATTGTCAAGCACAATAACTGTTACTCTCCCTACTACAAAATCTTACAAAGTCAACGCTGGAGTATCACAAGGAAGTGATTTATCACCTATCCTTTATAATGTATACACACCTGATCTCCTCAGAACAAGTCACAGAACTCTAGCTACAAATCAGTTCAACTAAATTTCACTCTTAATAAAAATGACTACTTTCAACTATTTTCAAACAACATACCCATACCGATTAAAAATTTAACCAAATACTTAGGGAGTCTTTTCGGACAAAAAACTAACGTAGGCTCAACATACAAAATATGAAAAAAAACAGTCTAATACTCACGCTTACACTTTTTCTGCTCAATATTATTCTCCTTAATGAATCTGGGAAACAAAATTTTAATGTATAAAATAATTATAACTTCTCTCTGGCCATATGGCATTCACGTCTGGAGTCAAACCAAACATTTGAATATAAGATCAATTCTATAGCATTTTATTCAATGAGTTAGACAAATCACTGGAGCCCCATGGTACATGATCAACAATGCTCTATATAATGATTTATAAATACCAACAATTAACAAAGTAGCAATCCGTCATTACAAAAATCTCATTCCAGACTTCATTCAAACCAAAACCCCCTAATCTCTCGTACCTATTTCATAAATTATCATTCCCAGCAATCTCCCGGGAAAACTTAAAAAAAAATGTCCTAAAGACGGCCTTAAATATATATATATGTATATAAAACGGTTCTTCTCAACTCATTTTAATTAGGAAATTTATAATTAAACCATTTACTTATTATGCTTTATTTTATATAGATTGTGAATAAAGCCTTTTTCAATAGTAAAAAAAAAAAATTACCTTATGTATAAAAAATGTTATATACCTAATGTATAAATTAATTTTTCATTGTCTTAAATAATACAATTCATGATCTATCAATACTCTATTTTTAATTTTCTAATTTTTATTTATTAGAAAAAACATTTTTTTTTTCTGTAATTCTTAAGAGGGTTTAAGCGTACTATTTTTTTCTCTTTCTGATCCATACGCAACCCATTAAATTAATATTGAATAGAACGATTCTTATATTGTTAGCTTTAATATTAAAGGAAATTGACTCATGAAAAATGAAGGTATGAATATTATTTATATACCTGGAAAATATTAAAAATAAAATATTACTAAAAAGTGCTCTAAATACTATTTTTAAATTTGATCTAAGGTCAGTTATCTCCAATATTAAAACTAACAACAGAAAATCGGTTCTGCTAAATGCAGATTTGCTTTGTCACGCGTGGGTCTGAGAGAAAAGACAAATAGTGCATTAACATCCTTTTACGATCTATATTATAATTTATAGAATATATTCTATGTACCAAATTATTATGAACTAATTAAAAAAATTAAAAATCATTTGTTTAAGAAATAGTTTTTATGAAACTAGTGAGATTTAATTAATTAACATTCACATAATTACGTCTATATTTCACGTGAAAAATATTTAATTTTTATTTATTGTATTTCAGTTATACAAGCAATAAAGAAATATTAGTGTCAAAAAATTAATAACATCAATAAATTAATGTCTAAAAAATAAAAATAACGATTAATTTTTAATTATTTAAATGACAAAATAAAAATGATAAAATTATCAAAAATTATAAAAATTCTATGAGTTTAAAAAACGTGTACACTTATTTTATTATTAGTTAATCCAGCGATCAATATATAATACTAATCGATCAGTCACAGTTATTAATTGAGATTTTAAACAGAATAAAAGTTTGAAACAAATTATATTACTCAAATAATTGTTATCTGTAATCAGTTTCTAATCCATTTAGTTTTTTTTTCTAATCTCAGATGTATAAACCAAAAAAATAGATTTAAAAATTTAGTCAATAATTTTATTTTAACTGTCTCTAACAATTTCATTAAAATATGAAAATGCAATTTGAAAATAAAATAAAATAATTAAAATGTTAATATTTTTTTTTTTTTTAACATTTATTAGATATATACAATCTGTATTATAGATACAATAAGCATATGAGCTGAAGAAAGAGATATACAGATGACGGTGAAGTCGTGAGGGGAGTAGCTACCCAGTAGTAACACTCGACAAAATATTAATATAATTCTTATAATAATTTTAGTAAATAAAAATGACATTTGATTTTGATTTAATAAAACATTTATTAAAATAAACTAAATTGTATGATCAATAAAAAAATTAAATGTAGTTATCTTAAATGCACAAATTAGTTATAAAATGTTGGTATATAAAAATATTGACAAAAAATTCTTTATTTTTTCAAAAAGCATAGCATATAAAAACCTAAAAGAAAATTGAAAGATAGGAATACTCTATTTTAGTATAATTAATTTCACTTAATATTAGTTTTGTTTTGTTTATACATTTTAATATAATTTAATTACTTATAGTTTTGTATATTATGTAACTGTATATGCTTCTTCTATATAGCTGTTGTAGTAATATTAAAAAAAAAATATGTATTGAAATTTGATTTGTTTATCATACTATAAATAAATCTAAAAAAATAAAAATCAATTACCTAACACATTTTTCTGTTTAAACTCAAATCTATATTACATATTAATATAAAATAATTAACATAATTAAATATAAAAAAATATTTGATAGGACTACTATACAGGGGTAGATTAGAAAAGAGGGCATTCTGTCTTACTACCTAACACTGGTATAAACTACTTATGTATATATTTTCTAATTTAACGTTATTAATATTTTTTTCGAGTATCAACATTTTTATTGGATAACAAACAATAAAACATTTAATATTTTCACTTATATTACTATATTTTTTAATTTGTTTTACTATATTTTTTATTTATTTATTTATTTTTTTTTTTTTTTGAGCTAAAATATTCAACTACTTAGTGTAAATTATTAAAATTATTTTTATTATTGACTGGAAATAACTTTTTATATAATTTAAAAATTGTTTTTTTTTTTCATAACTACATACCATCCATAATACAGTTATCTAATATTTATCAAAAATATATTTTATTAGTTTGATTTTAAACAGTCATATATAAAAATCAATAAATGCATTTTTTTTTTCATATTTATCAATTGAACATTAAGTATCAGAAATACAATGAAAAAATATAAACTTTTATCTAATCAATTAAAAAAATTATTATACTGCTAAAAAATTATTAAAATAATATAATTGAAGGAATTACAAAATCAATTTTTCATTTAAGAATTTGACAGTCTTTCAACTTTTATAATTAATAATTCTTATAAATATTTATTTATTTAAATATATGTCATATAATCTAAACTATAGACATCTTCTAAAATGTAATTAAAAATGAATAATTATATGGTCTTTATTATTTTTCATTAAATTTATGCTTGAAATTTAAACATTTAAAAAAATATTGAATATACAAAATAAATTCTTTAAATAGAAAAAAATTTAATTTCATATTTTTTTCGAATAAAATTGTGTTGAATAATAATTTTTTGTATTTTTTTTATTTTTGTGTTTTACGTAGGTACACAAAATATTTTGTGGATTGAATCAAATTTGCTGTTAAAGATTGTAAAGAAATTAATTTATGCGTTGCTTCCTGTACTTTTTTTATATCTTTTCCAGCAATTATTTATGAGCATTTGGTCAAATCACTGATAATTTATAATATTCAATATATGTATATATAATATAAATTATTAAAAGTATATTATTTTTAAAAAATTTTCTTCTGAAGAATCATAAAAACCATCATACTATTTTTAGTCGTCTATATTTATCATTAGTTGTAGACTACCCTTAAGACACTATAAGTATATTTATATTTTTTTTAAGTATATTTAACCAATTTTTTATTTTTAATTAATTATAAATAATAAAAATGTATTTCTAAAATAATTTCAAAGGTTTTTAATAACCTATATTTATCCAAATTCATGTATGTAATTATTTATTTTTATACAGTTATTAAATCCTAGGACATTAATAGTTAAATATCCCAAATTTTTTAATATTATGATTTATGTGTTAAAGGTGACTGGCTAAATTATTCTATATTCTATTGGATTGTTATAAATATTAGAAATTATATAATTATTATTTTTGTTGAAATTTTGAAAAATATGTTAATATTTGACAATAATTTGTTTATAAACCTGTAGTCAACAAACCGATTCTATAATTACAGTAAATTTCTTTCGTCGTGAATATTATGATTTTTATTTTAAATTTTGATCATATCGATGAATCATAAATGTATTGATTTTTATTTTTTACTTATGAAGGTTTTTTTTATTACTTATAAAGATCGTTGTATTTGTATTACATATTCAATTTTTTTTTACCGCGCTTTTATTTATTCACTTAGTTTGGGAAATAGCTGGATATGGATAATGATCATAGATATAAAAAATATTCTTGTTTTTAAAGAATTAATTTGTATAGATATTATATTTAACGTACTAATAATAATTTAAGATTAATAAAAAAATATTAAACCTTCAGCCATTATTAAATCAGTATTTCCTTGTTCGTTTTTCATATTTGTCATGTAAAGTTTACACACGAAGAACCTTTTTTCCTATTACGAAACATCAATTATCTTATTGTCCTTGAAAAATTGTTTGAAAATCTAAAAATAATAAATAAATATTGTAATCAAATCTAAATAATTACTGAAGATATTATGTACGACAACAACCCTAATAATCTTTCATTTTTTGAAGGTAAAAATATATTATTTTAACGATATTAACAATAATAGTTGTACTTGCATATTATAATTAACTTCGGAGTATATAATTTTGACGTAACATGGCACAACAGATGTGTTTATATTATTAAATTTAAAAGCTATCATTTATCATTTATCATCGATTTTTATTAATGAATATACTTAAAATTTTTACCTAACATATCTATTATAAAAAAAAAAAAGTGCCTTAAGAAATTTCTATCTTCATACATTGAATTATATTAGAGTATTATAACCCACAAATAGAATTCCAAAAATATCCAAAATTTAAAACATATTTCTTGTTTTGTATGCAAAATCTTAACTTGTGAGGCAAAGAGTCCACAAATCTGTTATACCAAATTCGTAAATTTGTGTACACTATCAAGATCGAACCATTATATGTGAAACGATTTTCAATGAGTAACACGTGTCGGTTAACTGGATATTAGAAAGCGTCTAAAGCTAATAATAAGAGTAGGTATTGGATAACACCATTCCCTTGTAAGGGGATCACATTGATAACAATTTCACATTATACTATGCGACCTACTAAATGGCTTAATAAGCCAACCGATTAATTGATTTTATTTTCTGGTACTGTCACATTTCAAATGTAATCAAAATGTTGTTGATCATTGTTTCTTTTCTTTTTAGAATACCATATTACCGGAAGCTGTACGATTTTGGGAACAAGCACTCATGGTTCGCAAAACCGAAAACGTTATTCGACTCAACCGGTAATTATGTGAAAAATCTATTTAAAACTAATGATATGCATTAATAAAAGGAAATTATATTTAAAAATTAATTGACTTTTTATTAAAGAATTTCTTTGTTTTTGTTTTTTTTTTTTTTACTCAAATGGTTCTAAGATAAACAGAAATAAATAAAGAACAATATTAATAAATTTAAACGATATGTATTTACAACTTTTAAAGGAGCGTTAAAATTATAGAGCTAATAATAACGTCTTACATACTTTAAGTTATAATTTCAAAACAATATTCAATCCTAAGTTATTGAAAAATCAGGATGTTACTCTATCGAGTTTACCTCGTTATTAAATTTTTAGAACTATTTATAAGTAACCTTATTTAAATTATTTGGACTAATTTTTAACTAAAAAATAATTTTTATTTTTTCATTAATTTTCATTATTTTAATGATTTTCAAAAATTTTAAACTTCAAACGATTTAAAAAAAAAAAAATGTTATTTCCAAATATTTTCGATATTTTTTAATTGTGATAAGAAAAACTTATAAGAGACCAAGTATTAATTTATCAAATTTTTTTGGTCATTAATGAAAATTTAATTGTATATAAACTGAAGAAAAACTGAAATAAATCAAACACTTCAGATATTTATAAATAATAAATAAAAACAAAGACAAAATATTTTAAATTATATCATGTCTAAGTATGTTTCATATAAATATTTGGTGAAAATTTCAAGTTTACGGTTATTTGTTTTTTAATTACAACAAAAAACAAAATTAATTTTGCCAGAAACTGGTTTGTATAAAAATTCCCAGTTTTCTCTAATTTTTCTTCAAGTTTCTCCCGATTACTTAATAAAATACTAGGAATTTTTTATTATTCACCCAAAGAGCTGAAGATCGAATAATTTTTACTTCACCAAAAAATGATGACACACACTCATACAAAACATATGTTCGTTTTAAGCTCTTCAAATTTTAAACAGTAATCACTGATCGGTTATTACCGGTCAAAACACGAAATAAGTAGTTATTTTTAAATTAACACAGAATATATTTACAATACGTTCTTAATATTATTAAAAACAATGCAGATGAAAATATTATTTCTTTTAAATTTTGACACACATTAATACCAGTCGTATAATGTATGAATATATGTTTAATATTAGCTGATTACTCACGGCGTTGCTTATGACAAATTAAATAGTGCCCGTGGATTTACCATGTCCAAAACTTATTTAAATGTAAACTACACAGATTTTTAACACATTTATTTAAATAGTTTCACCGACTATAAAATACATATATCAAATTTTATTCTATTAAATTTTCGGATTTTTTGCAGAAAATGTGTAAACAATCAAGTTTTTTATCGAAAAGGGGATCCTCATCCATACTGCAAAAACGCATGTGAAGACCGAACAATGTGCGGTGAAGTACAAGTTCCTGAAGAGCATTTGGAGGTAAAATTTGTAATATTAATAAAGTAAATAAATATTATTAGTTATAAAAAAAAGTGATGTTATTTTTCATAGTATTTTTGTAACAAAATTCCTGCGTTAAATTATTCATTTATAAGTAGTTTAAATATATTTAAATATATAATAAGTAACAAGTATCTAAATTAACTAATATCAACGATTGTATAAGTGAATATTGTTATTTGTGGTGTCTTGGAATACAGAACTCAATAACTGTATTACCATTATGGCGTGGTGATATAAGCGTGACACAACTATACTCGCAGTATAAATAATATACCGTGCTAGGTCATGTATTTTAATTTTTAAATGCATTGTATTATAAGCATTTGTCTGTGGAATAAATAATTGTTTATTAATGGCGGCTAGGTTTACACAAGTAAAATCAGGATTAACGTGCACTTGGTTCCAAAAATCTAAGGGACTTAACCTACTCATATTGTTAACGGTAATCGGTAGATATGTCAGGTAAAAAACAACAAAATTATAATTTTCAAGGTACTACACAAGGACAAAAATTATAACAAGTTTCAACATTGTATCAAATTTTTATTTTGGTTTTAATCTTAAGGTCTTGTTATCAATAATAAAAAGTTAAATTAGAATTATTACATCATTACGATATTTATCGTTATATCTATCAATTTTTAATATTCTAATTTGATAATTGACTTAAAATTATATTTATGATTTCTATAAAATATAATTTTGACATCTATATAGCATATATTCTACAATATTTTTAATTTATTATTATAAATTGTATATTTTTATTTTTATTTTATAATTTACTTAAAAGTGATTTTAAGTAAAAATCATTTGATATTTTTCACCTTGTTGTTTTTTCTGTGTCGTTTGTTTTCCTAGGTTAATATTAATTTTTTTTTAATCAGCTATATTGATTTTTAAAATCAATGTTCAATAAACAAACAAGACATAATTATTATTTTATTACCCGTGCTAATAGAATTTTTGTGCCTACGTAACGAAAAATCGTAAACCAAAAAATTTAGTTGAAAAAAATCATATTTGCGCAATAATTATTGTTTTCAAATAAATGGAAAGTTACCAAACGTTTTTTACAAAACTGTATACAGTATTATATTAAACATTTCAGACTTATTTAAAAGTTATTTCTCTTCTTAAGTTTAAATTAATAAAAATGTGAAGAGCGCTTTATAGTAAGTAGGCACACTGTGCTCCAATTTCGTTTGATTCGGCCCAGGCTATCAATGTATTGCTTTAGTGATATATTATGACATATTATTATGAATTTATGACGTATATTTCAGCTTGTTGAAGCTGACCTATAATTTTTATTTCAACGTGATTTCTATAAATTCTTTAAAATTCAAAAAAAATTTAGCATTCAACTTTTTTTAAATCTATCAATGGCTGGTAAAAATTCAGATCGCTCTAAATTCACATAAAATCATTATTATAGATTTAGAAAATTACTGTAATTGATATTAACCTATCAACATTTTAAACTTAGTAAAATTTGTCTGAATATGATAAGTATTAGATTAAATCTATGTATACTTATGTATTTATCTTTAAGGACTGTTACCCTCAGTATAAATAGTTTAATAACTCAGAAACCACTTCTTAAATTGTGTAAAATTCAAAGTTTTTTATAATATAATATTACCTTTAAATATTATTGAAAATTCCAAAAATTAGAGAATTTGAATACATTAATTAAAAAAAAAAAAAAAATGGTGTTTAGCAGGCTTGACGAACTAACTGGCATATATATAACGAGTATCTTTATTTAGGCATGCAAAACGTGTAACGCATCGGGCATGGATTGCGGTACGGGAACGTCAAAATCAGGTGTGGGCATCGAAGGAGCTGATTTCGTGTTCTACGTGAGCGCGATGGAGACAGAAAGATGCCACAAAGGGTTAACAGTGGCGTACGCGGCTCACTGCCAGCAAGAATCATCGCTGGACCGTCCGATTGCCGGGCATGCTAACCTTTGCCCGGAAAGCATCAGCACTAAGCCGCAGGAGCTCGAAGTGCTTCTGTCCACGGTCAAGCACGAAATACTGCACGCGCTTGGTTTTTCCGTAAGCCTGTTCGCATTTTACCGAGACGCTAATGGGTATCCACTGACTGCCAGAGAAGACAACGGCAAACCCAGGCTCAATGAAAAGTAAGCTAAAACGACCTATGTTATTTATACTCTGAGTCAGATCTAGGAAAGGGAAACCGGGGATTCGTACCTGGCTGAGATATTTTTTAAAATTATTTTGGTATTAAATTGTACATGTCGATATTGCAAAAACGAGCTTCACATTCATAAAATATTTAATCAATAAAAATTTTTCGAAATGTTCAGAAGTAGTTACAACTACGCGTTTATGTATTTTCCGATTTCAACACTAACATTTATCCATTCTATTAACTAAAACCTTTAAAACCAATTTTCAAAATCTCATAAAATGTCCAAACAAGTTTTGCAATCAATGTCTGTATAAACACTATTTGAACATAAAATAATGTGTAGTTGTTTAATGTATTAGGCATTTTTTTAATATTAAATCAAGAATTTTGTTTTATTATATTTTTTCATATTTTACAGTATAGGTAGGTATTTTCGTACAATTCATATTATTTAAAAATTATTTAATTGCAAGCTTTTTAAAGAATATCGGTAAATATTTAAATAAATATGTTATAAATGTTAATTAATTAAATATTTATAAATATTAACTGATAAAATTATCACATTATTTACATTATATTTATGTGAAACAATTTTTGTTTTAATATTTTCTATATAAATATTGATACTAGCAGGTATAAAAATATTATATTTTACCACTAGCAAAATTATATATTTCTAAGGGTATTTAATATTATAATGACATTTTTAAGTTAAAGCGTAGTTATTTTAATGAGAATAGTCCATTTCATAAATATTTTCGAAAGTTAAATCTTAAAGTTAATCCTTAAATCCAGATTTATATTTTTTTTGTTCTTGTAAAACATAAATTATAGATACTCACCCAGTAACCTTGTTCATAAGTGTCTACCGTAGCGGTATGTTTAATTTATTTTATCTCCAGACTGGATTCACTCGTTACAACTCTAAACAACAATACTATTGGTGCATTTTTTTCTCAAATGGTTACAATTTATTTCATACTTTAGTTGATTTTCAATTAGTTTTACTGACGTTTTTTTGTGTTTTCTCTGAAGGCTATAGCATTTTTTACAAGCAATACAAATGTAAGCAAAAAATTATATTACCTATAGACTATAATAATTTAAAGATTCCAGTGTAATGTCAATTTATATTCTTAATACAAAATTTAAATAAAAATAAAATATATTTTCTTTTTTATATGCAAATTATATTACTAAAAATTGCACTAAAAATACATTTGATAGTTACTTCTTAGGTAGTTTATACTTAAATTTTTTAAATTAAAATAAACGATATGCTTTGACCTTGTTAAGTTTTGCGTTTTAATTTATTATTTGTTGGACGTTTTTAAAATTATTATTTTTTATTATAATATTTAAACATATAAAATATTAAACTGTTGCTTATAAATTAAATAAATATAAAAAACTTAAAATCTATTGTAATAGTAGTATTAAATTAATTAATGGTCAATTCAGTAAAAAATACGATAATGCCCTCCAATAATTTACACTTAAATTATAATATATCTAAAATTAAACAACATAAACTTTTTAGTTTTTATATTTTCTGTTATTTTTTACATAAAATAATAAGTATTACTTACAATTGTTTGTAAATCGTTTGATCATTATAGACTTCAAGCAAGACAGTGGAGTGACAAAGTTATCAAGACTGTGATAAGACGCAACTGGACAGTTCATGGCGGCGTGGTGGACAAAGAAGTTCAAATGATGGTAACCCCTAGAGTTGTAGAAGAGGTTCGAAAACATTTCAACTGCTCGTATTTAGAAGGAGCTGAACTGGAAGACCAAGGGGAAGATGGTACGGCTCTCACTCATTGGGAAAAAAGAATTTTTGAGGTATCTACTCTAAAAATTATCTTAACATTATTATAATTGTATCTATTCTTTTTTTAAATATATAAACGCGTATACAATTACATTATTATCAATTAATATTAATTACATTTATCAGTCTTGTTGTAGAATTTATTTTTAAGTTGATTATTGTGTTGAAATATTTTCTCAATTTTGAAAGTTTATTGTAAACAAAAATGATGGATTGAGTACTACAAATATTATGAGAAGTGTGTACACGTTTTTTTCATTTTTTTTCCAATAAATTTCTCCGAACTTTTAAATTTTTCCAATATGCTAAAGTAATTGGTTTATTGGGTTATATGTGTATATCATATAAGATGATAAAAAATAACATAGTAAAATTAGCATCAATCATAAAATAAAAAATCTAATTTATAACTACCTGTTTAATACATTACCTGTAGACCTAATAATATTGTTTTTTACGCTCATAGCCAATATTTAGAATGGGCTCCCCTAAAAACATTTTGCTACCATGTATTACACTTCCATACATTTTTGCATTTTTATTTCGATTTTTTCATTATTTATTTAAATTTTATTAATTAATTGATATTTTCATTATCATTAAATTATTATCGTTATTATTAAACTAAGTATAAGTTAGTTACATTCAATATAATAACCACTTTTTTTAAATAATTTTATTTTTGTAAATTCAAAATATATATTCGTTAAATTAATAATATATTTGATAAAATTAACAAAATTTTAAGTTATTTTAATAAAATTTCGATAAAATATATTAGTTGAACTAAATAAAAAAATTATTAAATCAAATAATTTTTAATTTTTATTTTAACAAATATCTCATCTTAATATCAATAAGCATTTTATTAACTTAATATTAACAATGATATTATTATTAATTAGATAGAACTGCCTTCACGTGGTGTCCTCTGGGTTACGCTAAATGGTTCTAAATTTTTTTAGGGGAATTTATGTAAGTGTAATACGGTAGCAAAATGTTTTTAGGAGAATTTACAAAATTTTAGGGGAGTTTACATTTGCCCATTATAGAGTATCTAGAATCTACATATTAGATTTAAATTTAGCTTCTATAAATTAATAAAATTTTTGAAATTTATTGAAACTTCGTGTTAGTTATGAAGTTTTTATAGTACATGTATTAAAATGTCTAATTACCAAATTTAATTGAATACTTAATGTTCCTGCGCATTAAAAACTTGTTTGAACACATTATATACAATGTTAATACTTAACATTATTTTAATAAATCAATTTTACTTTCATTAAATAATAATTTGATCATCTTAAATAGTTACTTTAAAAAAAAGTTTACAGTGTTTTAAATTGATTTGAAAATTATGCAAAAAGCACCCACCAACTATTTTGTATATTAAACAAAAATGTAAAATGAATATTTTTGTAGGAGTAAGTACACAAATAATTTAAACAGATTACTTTACTATTATTTATACTTACATACCCATTTAAGATAATACGTACTCATTTAATATTTTAATATACGATTTGTCAATGTTTAAGGTTATTTCATAATTTACTCTTTTATTAAGTTGGTATAAATTAAATTTTTATTAATAATTTGATAAATCAAAACTAAAATACCGTGTGAATAGAATCCCGGTTTACCTATATCTACCATTCAATAATTGCTTAAATGTTTTAATATTTAGAAATTTTCATTGTTTGTAAAATACTAATACATAATAATAAAAATAAAATAGCAAGATAAATATTTTTTAGTAATTATCGTATTTCTTTATAATTTGAACTAAAATGTCTATAAAAAAAATTTCACATAAAATGCATTATTCAAGTTTTGAAATTGTCTTAAGAAAAACTTATGAATACATTTTCAAACTCTTTGATTAAAGGACAAAAATGTTTTCAATGTTAATCAAGAAAACAATTTTAAACGTATAATTGGCAAAAAATATAATAACTTTAGTCCTTGTAGGTATTAATTTTTTAATTGCAACTAAAAATTAACTGCGTACAAACTAGATTCTAGTTGGAAGTCACTTCGAAAATTGAAGCATTCTTTCACTAAAAATTTGTTTTCAAAATATTTTTATTTATTGTTATAATTTTTAAATGAATAAGATGGCTAACATTTTTACAAAATATTTAAGTTTATTTTTTTTATAGATGATAAGATTTTTATACATTTATAAGTTTATAATATATTTACCTTAGCTTAATTGACTTTATTTTAAGCCTTTTTTAAATGATAATAGTATTATCAAATAATATTGAATTTTAAGTTTTTTAACTTTTCATAATAATTATTTAAATTTGAACAAAATTCGATTAATCAATCTAACATAAATAAACTGTACACTTAATGTAAAAATTAAATTTGTTTATCTTACAATAGATGCATTATTGTATAGCTAACAAAAACCTAATTAAACAAACAGATATTATAAATAAATTATCAATTTGTCACTAGTAAATCCTAAATTTACACTCATATAAAACCTAAGTTGTATCAAGATTAACTAATATAACCCTGATTTTAATAACTAATTTTACAGTATTAATTTTGTTCTCAGTTTTCATTTAGAAAAATTAATTCTCATACTTCCGATTGCTACCCTTATTTCAGGAAGAACAATAAGACAATAGTTAATTTAATAATTTCAAAGATACAGAATAGTGTAATAAAGTCATTGTTTACTTCCATATAAGTCTTTAACGTATTAAATGTAAATAATTTATTCATTAAAGTTCGCCCTTTATTAGTTTTCAATGAATTAAAATAATAATAATATGAATTAAATACAATTTTCAAATTATATTATGAATACAATGAAATGATTTCCGCGTTTTATTTTAATAAAATAATGTAAGAAAAACAAAATAACCAGAGTTTTATAATATTTTTGATAATAAAAAGTCTTCTTTATCTCATATTCGCATTGATAATTTCAAATATTTAATTCTAATATGTCATCTATTCAATCTAATCATCACAACGCGCGATAGAGACTTTGATTAAATTTTCTACTTATTTAATTATCAAAAATTTATACTTTTCCACAGCATATAATTGCGTTGTTAGACAACCATTTCGAATATTTCACTTTATAATTAAGTGCTGAGGAAACTGCATAATATCTTATTTCTGTACTTAATATTAGTATATTATTAGTTTTATAAATTTGAAAACTATTATAAATGATTGCACTTTCAAAACAATATTATGAATATGTAGCATGATTACCTATAACGTTTTTATGGATTTTTTTTTTTTTAATTTTAAATGTTCGTCAAAAATATTACTTTCATTACTCTAAAAACTAAAAATATTTAATTATTTTACAACTATGAAAATTGTAAATAAAAAAAATTCACTTTAGAAATGCATACACAGTACACACCAAGCAAATATTTTATCAATATAAATTTCATACAAGTTTTATTTAGTTTATATATTTATGTTTTATTATATTAATATTATTATTTCATTTATAATGTAATGTTCGTTTAGTACAACTAATTTAGAAATTATAATACATATAGGTAGTGATAATTGCTTTGTTTACGGCTATTCACTATTATTGTGCATCGATCTGAATATTTTTATTTTGAACAATAATTAAAACAAAACGCAAAAAGCTTAAAGTTTTTCTTGAGATATTTATTTAATTAATAATAACTTACTTATTAAATATCTTATAATAAATAATATTTTTAATTTAATATGACTAAAAAAATATCTTTTTAATAGTCGACTCACTTTTCCTGCTGATAATTTATGATAGTTAGTTTCAGAATTGTGTGTAATATAAATTATCCATGTTTATTCCTGTATTATAATTAAAATATGTATTTTACAACTTTTAAATTTAAATAATACCATAAGGTTCGCATTACCGCGTTACTTATTTTTTATTTTTTTATTTATCCTTATACTTTTAATTGAATTAGTAATAATTGAAGCATTAAATTAAGTAGGTAATAAATTACTAAGATAATAAAAACAATTATACTTATAAAATGTTAAAATATGTCTAGTCATATACATATACATATACATATAGCGTATTATAAATACCCATTAATCATAACCTAATTTTCAAGGAAAGTAAAAATCTCGGTTTAAGATAGGTATAATTATTTCTGAGAGTTTAGTGCTATTGAAGCGTAGAAAATTCTGACTCGACTATAATATTCGAAAATTAATTCACGTATACTTGCGTTATTTATCATTAAGTCGTTAACTGCATTTTTCTACTTTACTATTATAACACTTATTTCATTTAAAACTTATTATATTTAAACGTTTTCTAGAATGAAGCAATGACGGGTACTCACACTCAGAATCCAGTATATTCGCGGTTAACACTAGCACTGATGGAAGATACTGGATGGTATAAAGCTAATTATTCATTAGCTCAAGATCTTAGCTGGGGCAAAAACTTGGGCTGTGATTTTGTAACAAAAAGCTGTAAACAATGGATGGACATGAAACGTATTAAAGGCCAATCTATCCATCCATTCTGTAATAAAGTGAAAAGAGATCCTCTGGAAACCGAGTGCACAGATGATCGTAGCTCAGTAGCACTATGTAACCTAGTTGAACACGTACAGCCCTTACCAAATTTCTATCAGGTCAGAAACATATTTTTTAGTTATTTTTTTCCAAATTTGTTCTTCTATGTTATCAGTAAATATTCTAAAAACTAAATGATACAACTTTGAATATTATATACTACAGAAACTTTGTACATTTTAATTTATAATTTATACCAAAGGATATTAGGTATGAAACATGTTTTTTTAACAAAACCTACAAAGTTGAAACACATTAGTAATGAACTCTTATTTATTATATTTTATTTTATTTCATGTAAATAATACTTAGTTTATACTTATACTTTTATCTATTCTAATCATACTTATTATCAACTAGAATTATAATTATTTTAATTTATGATAAATTAAAACTAAATTATATTAAATTTTATATAGTTATTGAATATTGAATTTATCCACTCAATTTAATAATAACTTATAGATTTTTTTTTAGTAAAATTTAAGTTATAAGATTCTTTGTTATTTGTATTTTGTATAGGTACAATGGTGTAAAATAAATAAATAATTTAGGTAAAATTCTAAAACAATATAATAACTTAAAAATTAGAACAAATATAAAATTGAATAAAATATTTTATTTTTCAAATCTATTTAGAATATTTTTTCAAAAATATATTAAATTATGTTGTAAACATAATATTATCTTTTTTAAAGTTTAAATTCGTTTTATCCTTTTGAACTAATAAATATTAAATTACACATTTTTTTTTTTTTTTTTTTTTTTTTAATTTTTTTTTATAAAATTTCTTTTTATCCTTTTTAACTAAAAAAAATTAATTATTTTTTTTTTTTTTTTTTTTTTGATTAATTAATTTGAAAACAGTACGTACATAAACGTATACTGAGTAGAAATTAATCTTTATTCACTGGTTCTATTTAATTAATTTTAATTTAACAGCAGTAATATCCAGGAAACACTCAGATTACATTTAAAAGTTAATCAAATTTATAATACTAAGAAAGTATGGAGAAATTACTAATATAAGTTTAAATTAAATCTTCGAGAACCTTAATACTTAGATTATAGGTCTTCACACAAACATATTCAGTGAATAATATTATTTTCTAAAGAATAAAAATATATATAAGTTTAAGAAAGTAATGTTAGTGAAATTTGAAGTCTAATTCAAATAAACTTTAAACTTTATAAAAATGTCCGTTTTCACTTAAAACAAGTATACATTTTTAAAGTTGTTTAGAAATACTTAAATAATGTTAACACTATGAAATGCCATAATATATAGCTATCCATTAATTGGATTTATTCTTATTTTTATTTTATTATTTTAGAACTTTGATAATATCCCACACGTAACACCCGGTCGTGAAGCATATTACGGAGGATCTGTAAGTCTTGCGGATTATTGTCCATATATACAAGAGTTTATATGGAGGTCAAAAAGTGTAGTGATAAGAGGATCACATTGTCAGTATCCAGAAAATAATCCACGTAAGTACATAAATATTTACTTTAAATGACATGTATCACAATTCTTCAGATCAATTATTATGATATTAAATTAATATAAATGTTGAATAATACAACAAAATTGTAATATAATATGCATCATTGTATCAGATATAATATTAAATTATAGATATTGGTAAATTTAAAACTGAAACATAATTTAATTGTTTTATTCAATATGTTGTCGAGTTTTATAAAATAAAATGTAAGCAAGTGTTTCTTTTTAAAGTTCTGCAAACCATTTATTATTGACTAAAAATATATTATAATCTAATTTCGATTTGTGTAATAGACTGAGTTTTATAAAACCGAAGTAGCTCTTACCTCGTAATAAAATAGTTGTAGATGGATCAAAACCAGTGGCGTATTTAGGATTTATTTGAGAGGGGGATATGACAGAAATAATTGTTCTCCTTCCACTTGAAATACATGAAGATACTATCAGTTTATTATAACTACACACCTATTATATATTATATCTATTCATAGTAAATACATAAACCATAAACCTTATAATTATATAATATAACATATTGAATATTGAATCATTTATTTATTTATTTATCATTTACAAAACTAAAAAATGCTAAAAAAAAAAGTTAAGGGGGAGATATATCTCCCTCATCTCCCCCCCCCCCCTTAAATACACTACTGATCAAAACAAGTAGTTAAAATAAAAATAAATGATGTATTGTAGTTTTTTTATCTTCTATGAACATATAATTATTTACATAATAGTTTTTCTTAGTAAACAGTTGATAGTTTTATTTAATTCTGTATAGATCCGGATAAAAACTTTGCGTTAGAAGTATATGGAGACAATTCTAAATGTTTCGATCATACTAATCAGATGTGGGAAGAACAAACGTGCAAGCAAGTTAGACAATGGCAACACTGGGGCTCTGGTTGTTACGAATACAGCTGTCAAAACGGAAGACTTCATATTGTTGTAAGTATTTCCTTACTTTAATTATCAAATATGCTGTAAAAATATATTTTGAGTGATTCAAAAAAAAAAATAATCTAAATTATTTAATGATACCTATTTATTTATAGATGTTTTTGATTTTTCTCATTGATATTTATTCATGAAACAGAATGTAAATTAAATTATTTATATGTTTATACTTCAAATAACTTGTTTCGAAATTAAACAATTATGTACTAGACATATTATGAATATTCGATATAATTTTTCAGTAATATCAATCATGTGTATAGGTTGGTAGCTATCTAATATATATATATATATACGTTTATTGGCATTTAGTAGGTACTAAATATTAATTCCGATTTCCTACTGACGGCTCGTTGTTTTTTTTTAACAACCTTTTAATTAATTTAATGATTTAGTTTTTTAAGTAATATTATATAATTATACTATTTTTTTAAATATTTTATTCTAATTATTTATTTTGATTTCAATAATAATTTATTGAATATATTGCGTAATATGCCGTATTTTTAATATGCTATAATATATTTTTTATGTAGTTGATAATAATAATAAAAAAAAATGAAGATTATTTAATTAAAAAAAAAAAAAGTACCTCTAGTTAATTTTATAAAATACTATAGCTTTTTAATATTTACTAAATTTGTTTTTGTATAAATAAATTGTTATTTAAATAAAACATCCTTATATAGCTAAAACAAAAAAGTCTGAATTTAATTTACTTGCATTTAAGATAAATCACTTTATTTATAAGCTTATTTACATAGTTTTAAAGAAAGTATAGAAAATAATTTAAAACTTTCATAAATTTTAATTGAATCATAAGAAACTTCAAAGTAGTACAAACTAGGTATCAGAAAATTATAATTTTCTATACAATAGTATTATTTTGTAGTCTTAAACACACTACTTAATTGTTTTTCAACAGAACAAAACATATTAATTATATTCTCGGAATTTATATACTTATATTGTTTAACAGTGTATAGTTTATTTTTGTGATCTGACAATAACAAATTATTTTCAATATTTAAATCAATAAAATAATAATTATATAAAATTGTTGACGTTTTAACGATTTTTCTTTAAAGGGGTTTTAATGTTAAACGTTTGAATCAGTTTCAAATTTCTTTTCGTTTTAATAGTACCTAAGGAAGGGAATTATTATAGACACAACTGCGGGTCTTTAAAAAAAAAAAAAAAAACGGAACTTAAGTTGGTAAAAATATCATATTCAGTTGGCTAAAAATGTATCGTTGATGAGGGGAGTTGAAATTTGCAGGATCTCTGTGACAGAGTTCTCTGGTAGGTTGGCGTAACCCGACAATGGGGTTGATATGCGAAGCGAACCATGAGCACAGCCCCCCTATACGTCTTATTTGCTATGTACTAAGATAATAATTCTATGAATTTATGTATCGTTATCATACAGTGCAATATTACAATATAATATGATATTTCACGTAGAATTGTCTATAATATACTGTATCACAATGTTGTACGACGCATTATTTGTTTATTTAAACTACAGGTGTCCAACCACACGTACACGTGCTACTTCCCGGGCCAGGAATTGGTCATCCGGCTGGTAGCCAACGGTTGGCTGCACAAGGGCGTCATCGTGTGTCCGGCGTGCGAGGAGTTGTGCGGCGGCGGGTCGGACGACAACAAGTGCAAGCCGCCGCAGGACGTGCCGCTCACCGTACCGTATCACCGCGAACAACTAGCGTGCGGCGGCACGGCCACAGTCGCCGTGACGGCTGCAGCCGCTGTCACCGCGGGAACCGTTGCCACGCTGTTACTCATGATCTCGACGTGAACAAACAACGATGTGATAATGTCATGACGTATTATCGTATTCTGTTTCTCATTCTCTCTCTCTCTCTTTCATTATCTCACTATCTATGTATCTGTCTCTTCCTATTTTTTGTCGGTCCCTCCAACCGCGAGCGTGTGTGTCGTGTGTATATATTATGATATTCCATGTGTGTACATAGGTGTAGAAAAATATAGTAATTTATGATCGTTGTCGTAGTCATCGCAGCATTCCTAAACCGTCGCATTTATCCGGAACGCGAATCTCATCTCACTCTGTTAAGGTGAATATTAATGATTAGATAAATCGACGCAGCATAATAGTCTGCCTAAAATCAATATTTTTCCGACCAACAAAATATTATTATTATACCGCATAAAAACTTATTGCGTCAACGTAACGTTCCCAGAAAAAATATCGTGTCACAGTTGTGTCGGTGCATTTTATGAACATATTATAATAACGGCTCATCGATTATTACGCACGATTTACGTATCAAAGTGGTCGTCCTCCAGGCTCCAATTCTATGTATTTGCGCATTAATAATTGGATTTGTGATCGCGTGCGCGTGTCTGCCGTTTTACGCGCACATATACATTTCAGATACAGATTGTGAAAAAGTGGCATTTAACGGTTTCACTATTACATCATTTGATATCTGGACTTGACCGTAACTGTACTATAATAATATAATATAGTATAATGTGCGATGGCTAAATAAATCAAATTATATAAATATAAATGTTAATGTGAAATATTGACAATCAAATTAACATTTCTCAATTACCTACTTATACAAGCGTATATGGTATATTCGCTTTTCCAAGTTCTTAGACGTTATTTATTGACTTGTAACTCTTGAAATTTTTTTTTTTTTTCGATAATATGATTTATTTATTATGAAGTTTCAATTTTACATTATTGCGTTCCCGCTTATTATTTCTGTGATAACTTTCATTCCATGTTATCATTTTTTTTTTTAGCGTACAGTTTTTCATTATAAATATCGATCACAAATCAATTGTTCTCGGGTTGAAAGTATACAACGTTTTCATGGTACTCTAGATAAAGGTCATGAGCCGGGGAACACAAAAGTAAGTTTTCTTCTATTGGAAACATTAAAAATATTAAAAAATGAATAGGTGCTAGAACCAATCTCAGTGATGAAAATGCTCATGTATGAATATAAATGTTAAATAAAAAGTAATACTTTTAATTGTTTTATAAGTATATATTAGAAAAAAATATCAATGATACGTATAAGTACACCGTGTGTCATTATAATCATTAGAATTCTTATAACTCGTGTGTAATATTTTTATTTTTTTTAATTGAAGTACATAATATATAAACTACTTAATATGCCTACTTCAATGTATACGTCCTTTTATTGATATAAAGAGTATCCGAGTAGATATATGTATAATCTATATTTGTGTAATTTTATATATTAAGTAACATTAAGTTTTTTTACCGAGTCTGTATAAAAATATACCAGTTAAGAGTATAACAGCTATAATCTATCTTATTCCATTAGACAAAACAATTTTCTTAGCAAAGGAAAAAATACAAAGTAAGAAAATTGTTTTATAACCAAATTTTAATCGGTATTTAAACTTTCAATAATTTCTCTTTTGAAATTTAAGAATAACAAGTATCAACGAAAAAACTTCTTCGTTCTTTTTGTTCCGTAATATAATAAAACATAAGTCGTAATAAAAATAGCTTTCATTACTACCACGGCCAAGGTACACACTTTAATCAATGTTTAACTATCGTTATTTGACGTAAACATTCCAGGTATATTATTTTGTATTTTACTGTTTTCGTGCACAAATAAATGTTCCCAGACCGGATAATTGAAATGCTCAAAATTAAATTAAATTATAATATCCTGATACACTGCATAATAACATTCAACATTTCCAGATTCCAATAATGTATACATATATAATTTATGTATTTTACATATACCTACTGCCCTACTATTTAAATACTGTTTGCTTTAGTGGAATTAATTAATTGCTCGAGCGGATGTAAGCATTTACAATTGAAATGAAACATTACGCCGTCGTAAAATGACGTATTTTTTTTATCAGTAAATCTTTTATAATTGTATCTTTAGTATCCTTCTAATATTATGTATGTTCTATATCATAGTTACCTACCAATTTGTATTGTGTAAAAATTGTATTTTTATTTTATTTTTAAGTACCTATTGTAATTACTAATTACCAATTTATATTATTATATAACACGTTATGTTTATAAGTGTCACTAGACATTAAGTTGTGAGTATGCGTTTTTTTCAATTAGGATTAGTATTATAGTGTTTATGTAAAATTAAAAATTACGCAAATATTATAACTTTGATGTTTGGATGATTTCCCTCAAAACAACACCCTTGCAATATTTGATAAAACATTTTTTGATGGTCACCAATGATAATTATTGTAACCTTACCCTTATTACAATGTTTCTGAATTATACAATTAATTACGTACCTACTATTAATAACTATTATACATACCTATAATACCTAATACTAGTAATACTCATATTATGTAGAAACATTTATCGTGTAATCCAAGTATAATAAAATATATGTTTTGTTGTTCCTATATTTAATAGCGTTTTATTGTTATGTTTATAATTAATAACTATAACCAAGTTTTAAGCGTGTTGTTTTGGCACAGCGAATTCAGCTTTAATTTTTCCGATTATTCGTACTTCGTGGCTACCGTCATCGTTAACAGAATATACAGATGATGACGATGATAATAATATATATATTGTATTATACACGACACTTGATAATATATGTATTATATGCATATATTCCTATGGTTCTAAATATAAAATTTATATTCTCCCACTTGTGCACGCCGGCGTCACAGAAAACGCCGTCACGGTGACAAAACGAAAAACGAGAATAAAAAAAAAAAAATCTGAAAAACTGAAACGTTTTCGTCAGTCGCGCTCTCAGTGTGTCCGACGGACAAATGGACGCCGTCGCTGCGCAAGTCACATTACAGGTACTCCTTCTATTGTCATCATCGCCGACAACCGTCGTCCGAGGTGAGTGAACACAAAACGTAATAGTAATATAATATCATAATCGTAAATGTGTGCTCCGGGTTAACGATTTGTTTAATACGACTATACAAGATTATATATTTTCATACGATTAAATAAATACATGTACATAAAATAATAGTAATGTTTAATGTTTAATGTATAACAAGTTTACAGTTTACACATATATATCTCCTAAATTAATCGTTAAAACGTTAACGACGTTGGGTTTAAAGAAAGATGTAGGTAACAGTTGCTATTAGTAAATTATAATATATCCTAAAATTTTTGGAATGGGTGTATGACTAAGACTGATAAGACTGTATTATTCTATAGTAATTTTGTAAATTTTTAAGTATTATTTTGTTTTAACTTTGGTTTGATACTGCTTTAAATACTGTACGTGATTGAAATGTACCCACGTATTAAATGGAAACATTGATTCTAGTGGTTAATACAAAAATTACCCTCTCCCCGGAATAGTTGCTGGAATGGAATTTAATATCAAATTTAATACTAATATATTATTTATGACTACACCATGCCAATGTCAATACACATGTATGATTATAATGGTATTATATTACATTAAATGCAACCCGATATCTGTACACTCGACCGCTATTCGGACACTGGTTACACTTATACGGTGAACGATGACTAAACGTTTTGCTTTTTCGCATCATTATTTAACGGGATACTAGTTACCTTTACGGTTTTATATAATAAATACTAGGTATATAATATGTATATATAAATATATACTTAGGTACTATGTATTGTAATTCTATTAATATGAAACTAGATAAAAAAAATATTGTACACACGGACACATGACTCGTTTTTCTTTTCTCTTAGGTACTTATTGTAGTTATATAAATTCTACGCTCTGGTGAGAAAATCACTGGTTGCAATATTTTACTTATTAATCGTACCTACACGTTGTGTCAATAATGGTGAGTCGACCAAATAACGTTAAATTACATTTTGTGAATTTGTGGTAGAAAGTTCTCTGACTTCTTTTTAATTGGATAATTTATTTATTATACTAATTATATTATTCAATGGATTTAAAAAAAAAAAAAAATGTACAGTTAAATTTGTAAATAATTTTAAAATAAAAAATGAATTTAGTAGGTGTATAATTTTAGTAAAAAGGACTATAAATAACTTAACCTGGCAAAGTGATTTATTGAGTTAAAATCAAATTAATTTCCAATTTCATTAATAATCATTAAAGGTCCCTCACAAATATTACTTAACGTTGACACTTATTGGTTTAAACAAACTCAATGTTTTATCAAAAAATATATTATACCAGTATTTAGAATTTACTAATAGCCGTTTCTTTGTAAAACGTTGGTTTTACATCGAGCTCACGACTATTACGACTTTTCACAGCACAAGGCAATAAGGATTATGTTTATTGCTTGGTATCATAGAGATCCCAATTTCAGATCTTAATAAACTCTAATTATTACAAAAACTGAAGAAAATAAAACGGTTATAATATACTAGTTATGGATGAATCTTTTAAACCAATATTATAACGTAATATTTCGGACATCAAGTTCACAAAACCGATGTGAGTAGCGAACACTAATATTTATCTTTACTGCTTTTTTAGGACTCAGAAAAAATTACCAAAAAAAAAAAAAAAAATTTGGCAGGTGGAATAAAAATTATTTTTATCTCACATCACTGTACATTTCACTAATATTTAATAAAGACGATAGATCTTTAAACAGGCACGAGTAATATCGTCGTTAAACTGACTTAATACTTATTGACTGCCGTCTCAAAAGCACTAATACAATCTTAATCTTAATGCTGATAAATATTCATTAATAGAGTAGTTAGGTGTGTAAACAATAATGCTAATCGTCATATCAAACACAAATTCCTCGACGCCCGCAATCGTTGTATTAAAGTTAATGATAGGAAATTTGTTCACAATTAGTTTGTCATATTGTTGTGCCCGCAATTATTATATATTTTTAAATTTCGTCCGCCCTTCACGTGATTTTTATTACTTTGTCTGCCATCGGAAAACACCGAAATAAACCTATGTCTTTTTGTTAAATTAAATTACAAAGTTAGCAGTTTATCGGTAGTTTAGTTAAATTGCAATATTTTGTAAAACATAAAATATACGTAATTTATTTATGATTAGCGCTCCTCAAATAAGGATGAGATCTCACTTCAAAATTTCAACTATATGCAGCTGTAAATAGATTATATAAGGAACCTCGCATATATCATTTTTACACTACAATTTTTTGTTTTAATCGCTCAAATATAATATGATATATTTTTTAATCGTAACCTATATACGTATGTCGTATAAAATAATAATAAAAAAAAAAAAAAACGTCGTAAAGCGAGTTTGTGTACCAAACAATAATTATTCAACGATGACATTTCAGGAATAAAAAAATAAGTATAATGTTCGGACAGCTCTGAACTGACGCTCTCTACATATTACGTATATATTATGAATTATATATATATATATATTATGTATACTTAAATATTGTTGTTCGTTGCATTGATGCAGTTCTGTGCGGCCGTCCCGTGTGGCTGACCGACGGCGATACACTGTACTTAAGATGGCAGAGCGGGCTGGGCTTGTTGAACCGCTGTTCCGTGGTGCTGCCCAACGGCACAGAGACGACGCTGTCCGACGTAGCCGCCACCGTCAACACCCCAGCTAATCTCACGTACCTGGGCGACGGTTACCAGTCGGGGCAATGCGGTCTCAGGGCCGTAAGCGTCACGCCCGGCGTCGGAAATTGGACGCTAACCGCGTCATCGGTGGACGGGCGATACGGTCGGGACACGAGTCGCGTCACATGTGTCGGTAAACGCGATCAATATATTTTATTTTTAATTTTGCGTTGCAGAGCGTAATAATTACACTGTGTAAACGTATTGCCAGTGTATCATGTCTATACCTACGACCACAGTAAAAACATAATGGGCAGAGGTTGTCGAACCCTTCGAATTCTAAGAAATTATACGTATAACTGTTTAAAGCTTTTGGAAAATCTGAATTCAGACATCCCGAATGGTCTGAGAAAAATCGTTAAAAACGATCCAGTATTCAATAAGTTGAGAAAAAAATTAGGTATTATAATATAAAAAAATGTAAGTCGAGTTTTAAATCAGTTATATTTATATTTTTAACTAAATATTTACGACTCATGTTAAGACTGAGTAAGATGTACCTATATAATAACTATATAAATGCATATTTATATAAGTTATTGTTAATAATTGATCTCTTGATATCTGTCGAAATCTAGAAATAGTAGGTTGTAGGTACATTCAACACTTCATCAGTCTACGAGTTTTTAGTGAAATTTAAAAAACAAAATATACTTAAAATCTGTGGAATTCAAAATAGAAAAATATTAATTTAACTTGACTATATAATAACTAAATGACTGATTGGTAAATGCTTATAATATAGAACGAAATTTAACTCATATGTAACTCAGTTAAAAGTTACTTAATTTTAATCTTTTAACTTGTTAATACTAGTTTGAATGCAAATTTGAATTTGTTTTGATAATATGATGTAGTCCTCTTAAAAGATATAAACAACTAAATGATTTTAGAATAATGTCTTATTGTTCTAGCCTTTGCGAATATATAACCTATAAATTAAATTTGAAAAGTATAACAAAATTTAATTTAAAAATAAATATGTATTTTATTTCAATTATAAACTTTAAATTTTTTAATAATATTTAAGTTTCAAATTAAGTTTAGAGTTCGTGAAAATTTAAGTTTGATATTTCCTGATTGTTAAAATGAATAATGGTTGTAGTTTTGTACTGCAGTGGCGCATATAAATAGGTTAAAAGATCATAATCACTCCCACAAAATAATATCATCCTTTCTGAAAATATATTTATATAAAATGTCACTATATTTTATAATATATTGGTACTGATGGTAGATAAGTTAAAAATGTTCAATTTGTTAATACCAATAACTGAAACTCAAGCATCTTAAAAATGTATGAGCATAACAAACTTAATTTTGCATAATATTTGAAGTTTAAATTTTAACAAAATCAAATATAGATAAACATTGAATATCAATTTTAATTATTTTATTTTATTTAAAAAATATTATTGACTGGAACTTAAAACTTTTATACATTTATTAATAGTATATTTTAAAATACACAATAATATTTTCAAAATATTTAGATTAAGTTTAAGTTATTTTCCTATTTATACTATAAACATATTTACATCGTTCTCCAATAAGTCGATATTGACTTAACAGTTAATAACAGTAATATAGTATGATATAAAACCAATATACTCTTATAATAATTTATAAATATAATAAATACAATGTTTCCGGCAAAAATTAATTCAACTTTACGTAAAATAAATAACTGTTTCAAAAGTGAGAGTATGTACTATAAATAGGTTTATGATGAAGTATACTTATTACTTATTACTAATGAGTTATTAATAAGTAATAGTATTTTTTATTAAAAACAAATAAATTACGAGTGAATTTAAATTAAATTATCATATAAAATTGTAAAATGTAAATCAACTCAGTATATACGAATTACCTTAAATTATTAATAAAACGTGGGAAATGAAAATTATGATAATTCGATTTTTATTTCAAAATTTGTGAGTGATTCATATATAGGTTACAGTAATATTTTATATTTTTAAAATTCTAAACATTATTTATGGCCTTTATTTAAAATTAAAATTAAAAACTTATTTTATCAAATTAATAAAAGTTTTAACATGGTAATTTACGTCATAAATTAAGTAAGTAGATCCCCTTGATTATTTAGGTAACATTTTTTAGCAAAGCAGATACATTTTTTTTTTAATTTTAAAACCATTAATTTAATCATTTACTTAATAAATAAGCTATTAAACAAACAAACAAAAATGCAGAGAACAAACTATACACAAACATACTCATACACTTGATACCTTCTATACTTGAAAAATAATTTTATCTATGCTTTATTTTTATTTTATTAAGGATGTGTGATATTACCGGATTAGATTTTATTTTTCCCGTAGAACCCAGTTTCTTAGAAATATTGACTTTTATTTTATCTTTATTAAGGGGTTAAATTTTCAAAAATCCTTTCTTAATGGACGTCTTGATAACTATCTGTATGCCTCATTTCAGTTCAATCCGTCAAATAGTTTGAGCTATGCAGCGTTGATAAATTAGTCAGTCACGTTTCCCTTTTAAAATATATATGTTTATTGTATATAGATTGTATACGACGTGTGTGGAATAATTAATCAAGGAATTGTAGCTGTTCTACGATGTCAAGTTTGTAATTCTCTGTCCTTAACTGAAAATTGTACACTGCGTATACTCGTACCTGTACGCATATAATAACTTTATTATTTCCAGCACAAATCGAATTTATAGTATAACTGTCACAAATTGGATTTACATATTTTTATGAATTGACATCTGCCAAGTAATATCTATAGCATATTATATAAAAATTTAAATCTGTTTCATGTTCTGTATGTATAATAAAGGATAGTGTAATAATTTAAAACTTCTGTTACATATATAGTAAACATTCAAACTTTTTAAGTTTTTTAGGTTATTTAATAAAATTATAATGTGTATTTATACTACGCTGAAATATAAATAATATTTTCATTTCTATTAATATTTTACTTTCTATTAGCATTTTTTTTTTTTTTTTTTTTTTTGAGCAAACAGTTATAGTTAATTAGTTAGTTTAGAATGTTTTCTAATGAAATGATTCTTCTCTTCGTGATTCATGTCTCTATTTTTTTGCCATGAAAATCGTTTTTTGTTTTTTACGTGAAGATATTGTGTAATAATAAGTAATATAGTATAAATAGGTACAAAAATTAGCCATTTTATAGATGTAAATGTTTAAAAGTATGCTCTTAAAAAAGTCATTGGTGTGTAAAAAAATAGCCCCTCAAATTCACTTTTCAATTATAATGTACGCTTGACAATGCTATAGCTCTAAATTGCAACTATGACAGCAATCAGTGGCGTAGTGAATTTGAAATTTTTCACAGGTAAGTTTAATATTCCACCCACCTACCCAAAACTCAATAAAGGTTTTTATTACTGTATTTTTTTTTAATTATCTCTCTGGCTCAAGTTAAATACCATTCATTTGTCTCACGACGATGAACCAATGCTCCTAAACTTGAATCTCCTATCTCTAGCCGGTCGTCGTCTTGCTCGTAACTTAATCTTTCTTCAAAATCTCATCAGTGGTAAAACTGATTTTCCTTCTTACCTTTAACACGATAGATTTAGAGTTCCTACGCGCCCTATCCGTAACGTTGTTCCGTTCGTTGTAACTTCATGTGCTACAGATTACCAAAATAATGAACCTCTCACTCGCTTTATGAGGTAGGGTCAATCTAGAGAGCTTCTTTTCCTATTTCAATTGATTATATTACTATAACCAAATTATAAAATTATAAATTTATTTTTATCCTATACAGTATGTATTCATATGTATATTTTCTACTCTACTCGTGAAACAAATAAATAAATTCTAAATTATTACTTATTGCATATTGGCCACTACCCACCCAACCATCACCCCTTTAAAAACTCAAATACTGTCTTTTTCGATTATCACTTTCGCACACAACACTGATTATAATTATTATATTTTTGTTGCAGTATGATATCTTTAAACCGTTTGAACTATCATAATTTTAGTTAATACAATTGAAAGTATCACGTTTAGCTATACCTTCGAGTAAACCTAATATTTTGGATCGACAATTAATCCTATTATCTATATTTTATAGATTTAGAGTATATTTATACTTCATAAAATTTATATTTTGCCGATATGTTTTATATTATTATATAATATGAAAAATATGTATAACCTTTAATGAAATAACTAAAGGAATGTTTGATTACATAAACAACATTAAATTTTTAAGTTTTTTTTATCAAAACATTATTTTACGTTCATTTCATTGCAAGCGCCCATTTTGAAATTTAAAATTGTTGACCACTTACTTCTTTTGTATGATAATTTTTCAGAATATGATCAATGTTCCTAAAAAAATTAAAAATTATTCAATTATCATATTTTTGTGCTGTAATTACTATTATTTAAAACGCTATTATAGTTTGAATTTTTTTTTAACGTTCCTACAGAGCTCATTCAATATTTTTTTTCACAGAATTATAGAAATAATTCTCTAGACTCCTGGAGGCCAAAAATTATAAATGTATATATTTTTATATCATTATTTAGAATGCTACTGTTTGAATAAAATTACATTTTTTGGATAATTTTCAAAATGTTTGTAGTGTTCTTAAAGAATTTATTAAACAACAAAAAAATGCCCATAAGAGATATGACACTGTCAAACTCCCTTCCACCATTGTACACAACTCTGAGATAGGTTACCTATTTATTAATAATGAAATCATCAAAATGTTTAATAGTGTTTATATTCAAACTTATTAACATATTCTTCGATCGAACGTTTCATGTTTCTATTTTGTTATTTTTATTGCTTATATTTTTGAGTGCTGACGTAACTTAATTATTATTATGAAGGATAAATCCCAACCCGAAAATTCTAAGTGGTCGCTCCCAATCAGTGTAGTTATATATCATTGTTTCACCGACATAATGTGTCAATACAATTATATTCTATAAACAATGAAAAATTATGACCGTCCACGTACACAAATAATCTATATAGTGTGCAAAATTGAAAATATAGACGCTGTTTTCGTTAGTATATAATTACCCAACTCGGATACTATAGTCTATTATCACAAGCTGTACAATACTATTTTGGAGTATGATGCGATCGATATAATATTAAGTACCTAGTGTATAAAATATATGTTGTGCAGTAATGCGTCGTATTTTGAAATATTATAATTTATATATGTATGTAGTACCTGTGTAATATGATGTTTATACTGTTAAAATTATAATATTGTATTTCCTTGTTGGCATGTGAACTACACAACTAGAGGTGAAATAATTCCAAAATGTTTGTTCTGGTAATGTTAACGTATTATTGATTTACTGTTTTAATGAAACAGTGTGGGTGATTAATGGAGTGAATAACTATAGTATTTACCGACAGTTGATGGCGAGATCGGTTGGGATACATACGCTGTTCTATTTTCTTTGATTAAAATGTAAAATATTGTGTAAGTATTGTTAAAAATGTAATTTGGAAATATTGAATAAGAAACTTTTTTTATATAGAAAAATTATTTTACATTCATGTCAATGTTAATATTTGTATTACAGCATTGACTTGAATGCTTTAACAATTGGTATATTTTAAACCAACTGATTTTAATCAACCAATGTATAGGCGCCGAACTATTATTAATGACACCCAAGTATACTTAAAAACTTCAAAAACTGATTAAAATTAATATATTATGTAGGTATATTATTCATTTAATATGATCACCCTCATTTATCTTTGTATAAAGAATTTATTAAAATTAAATAATTGTTGAAGTTTTTAATAATTATTATACTTAAGGATTATATTATGTTTAATTATTTAGATATTTAATATTATTTAAATATTTTTAAATAAAAACATGTATTTTTATTTTCTTTTTTCAAAATAATATTTTTATTTTTTTTGAAGTACTGCGATACATATAAATTAAATTTTAGACGAGTAGCCTTATGAGTTATAAACTTTTAATAACTTAAAAGTATTTAAATGAAGTGGATTGGTACCTCGAAAAATGTTAGTTAAACATTTTGCTGGCATTCAAATGTATGAAAAAAATTCAAATTTAAAACGATAATCGATTATCAAAAAATATTAATTTTTAAAAAAAATTTTGAATTTTAACAAATTAAAATTATGCAAAAAGAACATTTTCAAGAACACGATATTAAAATATTTAGTGTTACGCTAAATATATAACTCCGCATATTATATGTATTATTAAATCTATATAGTATTTAATATAATACTCGATAGGCAACAGTTTTTTCAAAATATAAAATGTTGATAGATTAATATTAATTATGTAGGTATAGTATAGTTAGTATAGTTTTCAAATCATCATTATCGTGGAAACTGATTATCCTTAGTACTACACATCGTTAAATTATTCAAAAATTACTCGTTAAAATTTCGATTTAAATTCATCATTAAATTTGGCTTTAGATTAAATTATACTAAAAGAACATGGTTGTTAATTCATCCTTTGTTACACATGGTGACCTAACAGCTAACGTGATTATCCATTTTCTTTGATTAGTTAAATAATATGAAAATAATAAAATCTTTTGTATTATCCTATATTCCTACATACCTAATAAGTAATAAGTATAGATATTATTTTCCGTAGTCTTCGTTCAAACGAAAGTGGATTATCCACAACCGCTATAGCAAACGTGGTTTATATATGAAACACTGTAAAGGCATTACTATAAGTAAACAAAAGCTAAAAAGCACTCATGTAGATAGAGTAAACTAGCACAGTATACTGTATAACATACAGTATTGAAGCAATTCTGTGAATAGTTTATTATTAAGTCAGGTATACAAACAATACTATAATAGGTATTAGTGTATTACCTACATTATGTATAATATTATAGTATATTAGTATAAACCTATTGATTTAATAATACTTGATTGCAATTTATACCAGCTTATAGGTATTACTCTATTACACAATAGGTACTATTCGTTGTGCTCAGCGTATTTGATGCATACTTTTGTAACAGATTATCGTACCTACGTTTAAAGTTTAAACAGTGATCATTTTATCTTAAACCAAAGAAAATCATATGAAGTACATATAATATATGTAAGGAATTCAACTTTGAAGTTTGAAGCATAAAGTTCAGTGGTGCAACCAAAACTTTTTGAAGGGGAAGGATATTATGTTGTTCACCGAAAATTAACAGAGAGCATTCAAAAGTTTTCTTTATCAATATCATTTTGAAACGTATCAAATGAAGTGTATATTCATTTATTATGCCTACAATATCCGTAGCTCATTGTTAGTATAGTTTATAATTGTACAAATTGTATAATATTGAAAAATTAGACTAAAATCACCAACGAATCATTCTCAATCCTTTTTATTATCACAAAAACTGTTGAATAATGAATGTCATGATTCATGATGTACCTTATACCCATAATCTATGTATTATTTTATTTATGAGTCTATTAATTCGCAGTGTAACTATTCATGATTCGCCTATTTGGACTTCGATCAATTCTTAAAGAGAGTATTTAATAATACATTCGTGGTGTGATGAACATAATATTATATACAACATATTTTTAAATATATTTATTTACTCTTTTGAATCGTTGCCAAAAATTGCATGGTTGTTAAATATTTTTTAAGTACCTACTTGTATAGTAGTTCTTACAATTATTAAATAATATCGACCGATAACTTGTTATTAGAATATTTGACGTTATAAATTGTCATTTATAATATTTAGTTTGTTAACGCATTTGTACATAATACTAGTTACTTACTTACATATTTATACTATAAAAAATCTTGATATTAAAAACCATATAGTTATTATTTATTAAACAAAACATTTAATTCTCTGTATGTGTTAACCTACTATTAATGGACAACATAGTCATTCCTTGTTTTTAAAACTTTCAATAATTAACTATATACTAAGCGATTCGCCAAGCATGCTTGTCCCATTTTTTATAATAACTAATTCATTCAAATTATGATATTTGGAATTTTTAAATATTTTTAAAGTCTTAAGACTATAAATAATATTTAAAGATACAAATTTCTGTTTTTAGATTAACCCTCCCTCCCTTTCTGTAAATTATTTAGTGAATATATATATTATATATGTTTTTTTAAATATAATGTAGGTACCTCATAATTCAAAGTTCAGACGAATAGTTTTTTAAATATTGAATGTTTATATACTTAGAATCATATCATAGTCCTTAAAAATAGTTTTACAACAATATAAAATAGATGTAGTATTGAATCTAGTATGAATTTTATTATACTTGGATTATTTTTACAAAGAACAAATGTTGATAAATATTTATTTCTAGTATGTTCAAGTCACCATAGCTCTTATATTTTCCAAACCAATCATCTTTAGACCTTAGTACACAAACTTAAATAACTCAAAAACTACTGTACTAATTTCGATTTTGATATGTCAACATTTAAAAAAAAATTTATTCGCTAAATAATTTATAATTGAAGAACCCTCCTTTGTTCTTGTTTTAAAAATAAAAATTTATATCCCCATAATACTCTTTAAATACAGAGTACAAAAATCTCAAAAAATGACCTTTAAATATATTCAAAAATGAATGCATTAGGTACTAAATGAAAAAATAAGGTGAGCACACAAAAACATTTTTCTGACAGTATAGCTATTTTATAAAACTACTTTTTAAAAATAATTAGTTCCTAGCCTCTACACAAATAATGATTACATATAATTTAAACAAACACAGTGATATAATCGACGGATTCATTTATTTTAATATAATAATATAACAGTAATAATCAATAAACGTTGCTATTGTCATTTATAATAATGAATAATAGCGTTAAACAATAAGCAATTAATTATAAGCTCTGGTTCAGCTTTTAAATTCAATCCTATTTTTAGAAATACTATCAAAGCTAATCGTTGTCATCATTATCGCTGTTTACGTTTTTCTGTTTAACTATCGTCTTATTGTACAACTAATTTCTTCCACATCTAACTACGACGCTATCCGGCATTCATTCACCACTTCTTAAAACAATATTATCACGTTTATAAAATAATATACCCTTCGTTCAATATTCATATTATCATATCGGTCAAGACGCGCACAGTTTATTACTATGTATGTTTACAGCGAAACAATGGCCCAGGTCGACGACGATCCGTGTGCCAGTTGGTACCGCAGTGAACGTCACGTGCGGACCACCGAAAGCGTTTTACTGCCGCATGTCCGGCCCGTCCGGCGAAGTGTCGAGGCATAAAGGTCAGTGTTGGGTGCACGTCAAGTCTGTTGGATCGCATCACCAGGACGTGTGGACATGCTGGTCAGTTACTGCTGAGTCCGCGGTCGAAGTTCAGTACACCCTTCGCCTCCACGCTTACCGAGGTGAACAACAACAACAACAATAACTATCGTTAAAGTTTTTATTCGCTTTCTTCTTGTCTCGTTCCACCGTAAATTTTCCCGTTTCCCTAAATGATCCGGTTAAGTTGATTTAAAATTTTTTTTTTTTACACTCGTCATTAAGTATAGGTAATTATTATTTATCAGTTATAATATAACCTTATTGGACACCAGCCACATAGGAGTATAGGACATAACCACATAGGCATCTTATACAGTAGGTATAAAATGTTGCTTCAGAAACTCTAAAAATATACTATAAGTTTACTAATAAGTTTCTTTCAATATAAATACATATAAGGTCTATGTATAACTCTTCTGGCCTTACCCCAATCCCCTCCTTACTCAGGTGAATACCACTGAACGTAATGTTATGTTGTTAACCCTTTATTATAAATACACCAACACGTCCGAGACCACGATTTTGCAAACTGTCTGTGTTTTTTTCTTTGGTCACTACACACAGCCATCCTCCTCATGTCTAGAGGGCGCAATAACGGAAATCGGATACGACGAAACAGCTTCCGAAGTGCGGGTGTTCTGCAACGTCCGTGATAGTACCTCCACAATAGTCGACAAAGGTGACAGCATTGCTGTTGGTCGGGACGATGACTTTCAGTCCAAATACTGCAGGCTTACGTTACCACAAGACACAAAGATCCTGTCACTAGCGTACGGTAGAGGCACTAGTCGGTATTCGTACCACGGTGCAACGTACAATGATTGTGGTGTGTCGTTCGCAAAACCGCTAAGACAGTCCGAAATTGGCCGATGGAAATGCATGAACGCTATGTCCGACGACCGCGTTTACGGCGGATTCATCGTCGTAGTACCAGCCAACAATACGAAAGGTATGTAACTAACAATGGTGAAGAAAATACATTTCATTACAATGTGACTCAATATGATATATATTATACACCTACACAGCATAAATAATTATATACCTATAACAAAAACTTTTTATAATTCTGATTTTATTTCAAAAATAAACTTTTAAATAATACAAATTAAATAAATTTAGATACATATATTATATATTTATTTCTATGTAGAATAATTATTTATTTGTTGCAAAATTCTTATCACCCATACCTGATATCAAACCAGAGTTAGCGGTGAAACATTTTATCATATTTAACTATCATAGAAAATATGGTTTTATGTATAATATTTCCTGATTTTTTTTCACTCAGCAGGTATACCACCGCTCACGGTGACAGCCAGCAAATCTGTTATGGTGCCCAAAGGCAACACGTTTCATGTAGAGTGCAGTGTACATTCAGAGATCGACTATTGTTGGTTGCGGCACCCCAACGGTACTGCTATTCCGGTGACAGTTCCGGACAGAACTGCAAACGACGACCGGAATAGGATTGGAACTAGGTACCGGTATACAGGTGAAGGGTTGTCATTTGGCCAATGCCACGTAGCCATCGGTGACGCTTCCACATCAGACACAGGTGCTTGGCTTTGCGCTCTGGGTCTACGTGACGACCGCCGTGAAATGTACGGCACGGTGGACATTACGGTTTCCGGTAAGTGTATACGTATTATGTACGAATGTAGGTACCTATATAAAACTAGCTAATATGCATGACATTGCCTGTGAAAAATTAAAGTTTCAATCTTTTTGAACTCTATGCAATGTAAACTGCTTACGTTTTTAACACAGCTATTACTTATTTAGGTTATTTTGGTCAAATCTAAAATACAAGTTTAAAATAATGTATGGGTACAATTGGTACAAATAGTATAATTATAATAACTGATTTTTTTTTTGTTTTTTTTTTTTTTGTTTTCATGCAATCATTGCATTACACTCCAATTTATTCCATTAGTAAAAGTGTATAGGGAAAATAATTTCCATACAAATAACTAATGATAAAACATGAGCCCCATCAAACATTTGGTCCTAGTCTTTCTTATTCAGTGGTGGGTCCAGGGGGGGGGGAATAGGGTAAATACCCCCTTGAGCTTAGCCTAAGCTGCTTAGGTTAGGTTACCCTCTACCCAAAAGAATTACGATAAACTGTCAGGGCTTGGAATGACGATTTATTACCCCCCCCCAATAAATTTCTGGATCCCCCCTGTTCTTACGTATATAAATAGGAATGCGATAAATGATTATCTCGCAATTATCATCGCACTCAACAATATACATGGTTATCTGTGTGAAATCTGTTATGAATCATGTTTGCGCAGAATCCGTGATTGCAGCCCGCCAGGAGGAAGTATACGCGACCGAAGGCAGTCGGGTGATGTTAGGATGTGACACAGTCGAAAAACAGCCTATAGCCTACTGCCGATTTCTCACACCACGTTTATTTGGATTTGCCGTAGACGAGAAATCGAACTCGCAGCCACCGCCTCGGTATGCGTATTCTGGCCAAGGACTGACGGCAGGCCATTGTGGTTTGTCCATCGACCGCGTGGACGATTCCGACTACGGAAACTGGACATGCGCCGTGAAAATCCTCGATTCTTCCGGATCTGAAGAAGTCAGCACGACTGTTATATTGCGAAAACCCGAAGGTATCATATTAAATCACATAAAATAATAACACGAATAGGAAAGAACCGAGAAAGCTATACTAGCTGTGTGGCTGATGTATTGTGAATCAATATAAAACAGGAGAATTTTGATAGTGTTTCAATAGTGTTTTTATTTTTTTCGATATCACTTTTAACAAAAATATTATTTAACATGAATATAACGAATTGAAAAATTACAATAACTTTTCTTCGTATTAAAGACAAAATATAAAATAATTATAGATCATTTCTTTATTAGGAAACAAGAACAATATTATAAGATTAATGGTACACCTAATATCTATGTAAATCCTCCGATACTACGAGTGGTTACTGATTTTACCCGCTCAACAATGTTTCCGACAATTTTGCGAACGTGTGTTTTTTACTTAATACATCAGTGAGTATTTGTATGTCGTAATTATATATATCTATTCTCTTTCTCAGGGTTTACGATGATCCAGATCATCGGCATCGTGTTATGTGGCACTATGATATCCATCTTGTCGCTGTTTTTTGCCAATCATCTCATTACAAATCCGTCGGCAAAGACTAGGAAAAAAATAGAAAAATTAGAAATGCAGCTCGAAGCGGGCGAACAAAGTGCGAGTCGCAAGGTCGGCGCCAGACGTGCTCAAAACAGCACCCGTGTGATCAGAACTCCGCCGAGTCGAAGCAAACTGGGATCCATACCTCGGAGAATTTGACCGCTGCACTCGATTATTTTATTCGTCGCGATTAATAACTTTTCGAGTACTTGTAATGCGGGATCTTTACTGCAAATAACAACACTCTAGTTCGATTCCACTCGATAATAATCAATTAATGTCTACGTCTATTGATACATTCACGATTACAATGGCGTATAATAACAAATAACAATAAACTGACCTCTGTGGGTTATATTTTATTGTGTTTTAACATTATTTATACATTATATTTATAGTGTACAACTCGTGATGTCATGTTGGTAACTGGTAAGCTTTTATTCTACACTGCTGACGACTTAACTTACAAATTATTTTACTTTAGTATTTTAATGTTGGATTGTATATACAATCACTAAACAATTTAATTAAATAATGAGCTAATAGATAGTCCCTTAAACATGATTTATTGGTCTACGTAATAAGTTCGTTAAATTTATCATTTTAGATAAAATATATAAAATTAGACTCAGTGGCGTAGGTACTAAAAAGGATCAAAGCGTACGGGTGACCCAGGCCCGTTCGCTTAGGGGGATCGAAGTTATACATTGTTTTTCTTTCAATAATTTATAATAAACTATTAAACTATTAATTTTTTTTTTAATAATTCAAAATTATTATCCAATTTTTAATTAATAAAAAAAATAATATTTTCAAAGTTATGCAATTTAATTTTAGTAAGATGAATGCACATATCCTCGACCTCAGTATAAATATATAATGCCTAGATGAGAAGGGGCTGTTGAAAATTTCACTCCTGGGCCAAAATTTTGAAAATAAACCACTGATTTGACATAAGCCACGCGTAGATTCTAATTTTCTTATGAGTATATTATTTAATCTATTGAAATAATCATAAGCTGTAGATTTACTTCAGGGTTTATCTTTAATTATTGAACGCATAATTCTTAGGTACTTATCATTTAGATCGATAGTGAGGAATTTAAAAAAAAAACCAAAACTTATAAACTTCTTTGTTTCTTCATTTTTAACAGAATTTCTTTTGTTAATTTTTAAATGTTTAAACACAAATTTCGTAAAAATTTGAATCTTAAACGCTTATACAAGAAATTGTTGCTATGTATTTTTGATATTTTTCAATTATGGTAAGAACAAATTACGCCAAACCATGCGAAAAAGTTCTCATAAATAAGTCCAATAATAACTAAAAATGTCAATAGTTTCAAATTTCTATAAATAATACAAAAAAAAGCCAAAATATTTTGAAAATTATTAAGGTTTTAAAAAACCATAAAATAAATATTTAGTTAAACATCCAAGTCTATTTTTTCCCCTGTAAATTGTGCAAAAGACTATACATTTTTTATTTTTGACCCCTTTTTTAAATATCAACTTTTCAGTACCTATTAAATATCGAAACATTCTATGCTCCTTAAGGTTACCATCACTATACACTCAGAATCTACGATTTTGCATTGAAAATATAAATAAAATAGTAACTAATTAATAACAATCTAATTTATAATAAATTATAATTAAACAAATAAAAAATAACTTTGATTATAAAAATATAATTGTGGTATGAAATAAATTATAATATAACATGTTTTCTTTTCTACTAAAATTTTATAATCAGAATTTAACCTCTATTTTAATTATAGATGTTAACAAAAGTGTTGCTTTATTATTTAATGTGGTTTTAGTCGGTTAAAAACCCATTTTAATATATTATTTATCATTCCATTATTTTAATACTTTTGCATTATTTATATTAACATTAATTGCTGAGTCTAAAAATAAAAATTACGCAATACCTACCTACTTAAAATTTATAGGTATTATTAGTTGATTTTTACACTAATGTTATTTGTAAATGTAAATATATTATCTTCGACTATAAAATAAAATTATAAAAAATGCCGTATACCTATTTTACATTTTTATTTTTAAAACTAATAAACATTTATAATATAAATTTTAGTTTTGAAATCCAGCAAATTTTTTCAGTACCTTATCATTATTGCCTTTTGAAAGCTTTAAACTTTTATCATTTTATTGACAATATTAGTTATTAAACTGATGGTATAATTAGTAGCCACTTATATAGCTTTTGAGTTATTAAGTCATTAAAAAATATAAGTATATTCAAGAATTGTAGAAAATAGTATGTTGTATTAGTTAACTCATATTCTCAGATGAAAAAAATATATTATGTTATTATAAAATATTAATTAATCATAATTTGCAAAACATAAAGAATATTTTTAACAATTGAGTTTTACTGATTTAAAAGCAAAACAATTTTGAATTTCATTTAGTACTAAGAGAACATTGTGCTTGCATTTATTTTCTCCATAAAACATAATATGGCAATTCATAATTTAATTTATAAAATTTATATTTGGCAATTCATAATTTAATTTATAAAATTTATATTTATATTTATTTCAATATTTTAATTTTGTTATTTTTAATATAAGAGTGAATCAGTTTATTAAATATGTAAAAGTGAGAAGGCCCCACATCAACTTTTAAGTTTTAAAGCAAGGTTAGAACATTTTAAAATATACAAACATAAATATTTTTTATTAAAAATAAATAATTACAATTTATACATAATGAAATACAATGAGAAATTATTTAGTCAATTTGTGTATATTTATTAATTGCATAATAAATTATTATATAAAATAATACCATTATAAAAACTATAATTCAATGAAATTAATCTGCATTAATGTTGAGTACCTTTTCGTACTAGCTGAGGAAAACTACTCTTTGGTTGTGCAGTATTAAATTTTGATGCAATATAAATAAATGGTTCAAATAAACTAGTCCGGTCTAAAGCATTAACTTCAAAATGTTTCATTTTTTCTCTTATAGACCAATGGGAAGCTCGACTAGTAGGACTCTCTAAAGTTGGAGCTTTGATATCCATTTCTCGCATTCTATGACCAACAATGACATAAAAGGTCTAAAAAATAAATACATTAAACATAAAATATATTGTTTAGTTAATTTTAATTGTAAGATAATACGCCATTCTAATTTATATTATATTTACATCTTTTTTTTCCTTATTTTTATCAATTTCTTTTTTTAATGTGACTAAGCAATCAAACGTTTCTGGTCGACTAGTGTCATATACTAATATAAATGCATCTGCAATGGATGCATACTGTTTAGCTATTTGACCAAATGACAACATAAGCGATGGATCTGGATTTGAATACAATCCAACCTCGGGTAACTGTGTCAAATCCAAACCAGCAGTATCATAAAAACGAACTTGTTCACGTATCCCTTTATCAGTTTCTATAGAAGCCTGGTATATATCCTCGATAGTAGGCCACAATTTCTACAACCAAAATTAAACAGTAATAATAAATAATAAGACTTCTATTAATTCTATCATATAATATGCTCACATAATTTTTGCTAAAGTGTCCATAAATAGCTTGTTCCAATATTGCTGTCTTACCAACACCTTTCACACCAAACACGACAACACGATAATTTTTTACCATTTTTACTCGTGCAGTTTAATTAAAATTAAAATTAATTAAAAATAAAAAGAACATTATTTATAAGATATTATAATAAACAATCATTGATCAAAAAATCTCTATACTAGTCACTGACATAATATACATATATCAATATTATTATTCATTTATGATGATGGTGATAATATTAATTCAAAAAAGAAAAGAATTACACTTTGCCATAAATTTAAAAAATTTAAAAAATTTAATAATTATTAATTACAAACTTCATATTCATTATCATTCATTGTGATAATTGATAATTACGGACTAAGATAATACTATCTTAGCTGGAATCACGATTATCTATGCCATTAAATTACCAAATATATTTAGAGATAATATATTATTTATAAATCTTATTATTGTACGGACAAAGCTAAAAATATTATGATTGCGGAATAGCTTATAATAGTTGTTCTATACGAGCTATGAGGTATAAAAAAATAATATTTTTGAATTACAAAACTAAGTGATATTAGAAAGACAGAAAAACTTTTCGTAGTTGATCAATCACGAAACGTCCAACAACCATAGTTTCTAAAACCACGGTATTCTCGGTACGGTTGTAGGCTATAGGTATATTATATCATAATTTTTAGTGCGTGTTAAAAAAAAAAAACAAACATCAATAATAATATATTAACATTATTGTTAAATATTAAAATAAAAATATTGAAAATAAATCGAATTAAAATAGAATATATATATTTTATGTATGGTTATTATTATTTTTTAAAGCAGTTCCTGATTTAAAGAATCAGATATCTCGTTTCTAACATCCGTTGTAGCAGATATCATAAACCGATTTTTTTTGTTTAGTGTTTACCGACAAGCAAAGACGACCGAATTTGATAAACTTTTACATGAAAATATTTAAAAAACATTTACAATAAACCGTTTTAATAGTTTTAAGTGTACGTATAGTATAATTTTAAAAACACAAATTATTTTGACAAGATGTCTGACGACGAAGAAATTACTTACGTAAAAAAACAAAAAACAATACACTACGGTTCATTAGAAGACCAAGAACGCATCCGTTTATCTTCAGCTGCCACTGACAGCGAAGGCGAACCAAAAGCTATTGGAGGAAACATAAACGTATCCAATGGTAATAATATAAAATAAACTTTAATAAATTCAATTAAATCAATTTGTTTAGTATTTTTATTGAATTATTAATTGCATTGTTGTTTACAGAATATTTTGATTTGGAGGATGCAATATCTAAAGATAAACAAGCATTACTTGAAGAATTTGAACGTAAAAAGAAAGCCCGCCATGTGCAAGTTTCTACTGATGATGATGAAGTTAAAAAAAATCTCAGGAAGCTAGGACAAGCCATATGCTTGTTCGGGGAAGGGCCAGCAGAGAGGAGAAATAGATTGCGAGAACTGCTTTCAAGGTATTTAAAATAGAATTAGTTGATAAATTACTATTTTAATAACATTAGGATTTAATACTAACATGCATATTTAAAATTTGTTTTAGAGTAGGAGAAGATGTTATAGTGAAAAAACCAGAAGAAGAAAAAGAAAAACGACAGCAAATCAAAGATCAAGATACAACCTGGTACCATGAAGGGCCCCCTTCACTACTAGATGCACGTTTATATATGGCAGGTTTGTATTATAAATTATATAATACAGTGGGTTCCGCTAAATGTGATCACTTTGGTGCAGGTCATTTTGATTCTATTAACCGGTTGATTCTATAAAACATTTACAACATTTTTTTCATAATTCAATCTTTTAATACAATTACATTTTTATTTAAATTAACATACATATTTAATAATTTATAAGACATAAAATTATTTATTTTTACATTTTTTTTTATTTAATGGTTCTATATTTAGGTATACATTTATGCTTAAATTAAAATTAAAATTAAATAAATACATTTAAAACAAATTAAAGAAGCTATCTATTTTTGATTGTACTTGAGAGTCTACCAATTTCATTTCCATATTAGCCTGAAATTAAATTAACTGATAAATTAAATAATAAAATGGGTTTTATAAATTAATCAGTTTGAAATACCATAAAAACGATAAGATTGTTCATAAAAGTGATTCAATTATCTGGTACCTAGTGATTCTAATAAAAGGTCAATTTAACATTAGTAACATACAATTTGGTTTGAGATTTTCATTTTTGATTCTATAAACCAGTGATCACATTAAGCGGAACTCACTGTAAACAACATTATAATTTATCATTTAAAAAAAAAACATTCAATTTTTATTTAAAAAAAATAATGATTCTTTTAGAATATTCATTGTTGAGATCACATTTTCGTTTAAAAATGCTCAAAGAAGAAGCTAGCATACCTGAATCAACACTTACAGCTCGTTTACAAGATTTACACAAATATACAACATCTCTTTCTATTTATTGTAGTCAAATTGGTGATACTAGACCAATATCATACTGCCGGTTTAGTCCCGACTCTAAATTTATAGCTACATCATCTTGGTAAATTTTTTTTATTACTAAATTTCTATTGTGTTTATTTTTCTTTTAAATATTGTTACATGTATACATACTTTTCAGGAGTGGTTTGTGTAAATTATGGTCAGTTCCTGATTGTTCATTAGTCAAAACATTTAGAGGACATAATTGTAATGTCTGCTCCATCACATTTAATCCACATGCAGGTTCTGATGTAAATGTCTGTGATCTTGTGTCATGTGCTAGTGATGGTTCTGTTAAGTTATGGTCAATGAATAGGTATGCTATTTTTCTGCTTCTTTGTGTGAAATATGTCATAAAACACACAACTTTATAAAAACGTTTGTCTTTAGTGATAAAGAAGAACCAGTAGCAGACCTGGAAGGTCATGCACCATTTAGAGTGTCGAGAGCAGATTTTCATCCATCTGGTCGATTTTTAGGAACTTGCTGTTTTGATAATTCTTGGCGACTATGGGATTTAGAACAAGGGGAAGAAGTTCTTCATCAGGAAGGACATTGTAAACCAGTTTATTGTATGTCGTTTCAGTGTGATGGTTCAATTGTTGCAACTGGGTAAGTATGATTTTTTTTTTTCTAATTTTTAACAGTATATTTTTTATTAGTATTAATACTGTGTAATGGGCAATTTTTTTTATCAAAAAACACTCATTATTTCAAAATCTGTTAATGTTTTTAAAAATATTTATTTTATATAACTTTCAATCCAAATGAAACATTTTATTTTTTTTTATTGAACTTAAACCCAGCAACTAGAGCTATTAGCTGTTTTAGGGGTAAGGTTGGTACGTAGGTTGTTTTTACAATTGTTGTGGTTGTTACGATTGATAGCAAACATGTGTATGTATGGCTTTTTAACCACTATAAACCCTGATGGTCACCCATCCAGGAGTTAGTAGTTGTAGCCGTTACTTTCTCCCAGTCGCATTCCGTGACTGGTAGCAGCCAACGAACCACACCAAGCCATAAACATTATTTTTAATGCTCACCTTAACTTTAAAACTTTATAACTCATAAACTACTTGTCCCAATATCAATTTTTATGTGCAAAATTATTCTAAATAATATTTTGCTTCAAAACATGAAATTAAAAATGTATGTTGTTTTCTTAAAAGTAAAAAACTTAAAATTTAAGATTTTGAAATAGTAAGTTACTGATAAAAATATATCTACATACTCTAAATTAATTAATTTTTACATGTTAACAGGGGCTTAGATGCTTTTGGACGTGTTTGGGATTTACGTACAGGAAGATGTATTATGTTTATGGAAGGTCATTTAAAATCTATATATAGTATAGACTTTTCTCCCAATGGGTAATTTTTTATTTAATTAAAGCTTATAACACAATTTAACACTAAAATAACTTTAATTTCAAGTTATCAAATAGCCACTGGTAGTGAAGATAATACATGTCGTATCTGGGATGTTAGAAAAAGATCATGTCTATACACTATTCCAGCACACATGAGTCTTGTTTCAGGACTAAGATACCAACCTGAAGGTCATTTTATTGTAACTTCTTCATATGACAACACAATCAAGGTACTAATAATAATTAAATAAATTGTGTTGTTTTGTTTAATAAAAACTTTTAATTACTATAGATTTGGGCAAATAAAACATGGCAAATGTTAAAAACGCTATCTGGACATGACAACAAAATAATGGGAGTTGATATATCTTCAGATTCAAAATATATTGCATCTTCATCATATGATAGAACATTTAAATTATGGGCTCCTGAATACTCAACATAATTTTGAGTTGAGATTATTAAATATGCTATTTTATACTTGTAAAAATAATAATAGCTTTCAAATAAATTGCTTTTTTTTATCTTATATTTCTAATTTTTGCTATTACAGCCACTACTTTTGGAGCTGCAATAGATGATGATTTCATTATGTACTCATCACTTTCTAGTCTTAATAAGTCCATAATTTGTGCAGTAGTCTCATCAAGTTTGACTCCTAGTTCTTCTAATACATATCCCAAGTATTCTGAAATATATGTTTGAATGAATTAAATTATATAGTTATTTAACCACATCCTTATTATATTATTTAGGTACTGTTAAAAATTGAATAAAATTAATTCATAAAAAATTTACCAATATCTGCGGCTAGTTGTTGAGCAGCCAAATTATTTATTTCTCTGAGTGACTGTATCTGTTCTACATATACATCACATGTATTTCTTGCTAATATCCTTAATAAAACATTTGTAAAACTTTCTTCCAGAGAAGCATCACTGTATCGTCTATCAGATATATTTAAAACTACAGTTACTGCTTCATTATCCCTTACTAAAAATGGTTCAACGTGCTGAGGAAGTGTAATTAAATACTGTCCAATCTATTAAAAAAAAAAAGTTTGCTAAATATTTATTTTAGAAACATTTGGACTTAATTATTCATTATCATATTTAAATATTACATTACTTGAGTAATATATTCTCTTGGAGAAAGTCTATGAGCATCAGATGTTTCTTTATTAAATTTTACTTTTTCCAGTTGCTCTAAGTAAAATGATATTGGTCTAAATGATATTTTATAAAAAGTTTGATATATGTGAGAACACATTTTTTCTGTCGCTTGAATTGATTCCTTAAATAATTTCCAATCACTATCTATAGATACAAACATAGAATAGATATTACATAAATTAAGTATATTATATTGTGTTATAAAGGAAAAAAATGTAAATAAATCAACAATGTTTTGTATATGTAAAAATCACAATCTATTGGCAGAACTTCATGAAATGATGAATAAAGTAAATACTTAAATAATATTTTTAAAGACTATTCTCAATACATAACCAATAAGATAATAATCTATAAATTGAAAATGTAACATACCTTTTTTTAATAAATCAATAACATTTTTCAATTCAATTTGTTTATCTTCAACCAATAAATATTTTGAAACATTTAATGCTCGTTGTTCATTTGTTAAAATACAACTTTTAAATTCAGATTCTACAAAATATAATTCACGTAAAAATTCTCCTAAAAAAAAAAAATAATAACAATTTTAAGTGTTAAATGTATAAAAATATTTCTAGGTATTTTGAATAATTACCCGAAGATTGTAAAAATTTTAAACATATTTGAAATAAATTCCAGTTTTCTCCGGCTTTAATGTTAACTAATATTTTTTTTAATACTTCTTTTCCTCCTTCAATAATATTAGAAAACATTCTCTATAAATCAAATTAATTCTCATCAAAATTATTTAAATACATTATGTGATTTAAAATTATTTTTATTACGTTAATAGCAAAGATCATTTCAGGAAAAACACAGTGACTTAAAACAGCACTTCGACGTTTTGCTTCTTCTGACGCTCTGAAAACAGTTAATTGAGACTGGCCAAAAGCTTGAACTACATCTACTAAATCATCTTTATTTAATTCAAAATTAGTGATTTTTTTTGAATGTTCATACTCTAATTCTTTGTAAGAAACAATTTGTGGAATCAATGGTCTGTATATACTTGTTAATATGTTATCCCAATCAAATGAATCGCCTATATAAATGTAATTTTTAGTGAATTGTTAATCAATTAAATATCTAAAATACTTACTAATTTTTGAATCATTTTTAATGTTTTTAATAAATACTTCTGTTACCATAAATAAATCTAATAGTAAAATAAGTGGTTCTTGATGGATTTTGATAGAAACATCAACCAATTCAAACATTGGAAGTTCTAATATATTAAACAAATCTCCATATGATAAAATTAATTGACGTTCTATTTCAGGTTGCACTTCAATATTAAATAATTTTTTGTACAAAATCATCTGTATAATATTATTTAAGCTTATTAAAATTTAAATTTAAAAAAATAATAAATACTAATTTTAAACAAAATTTTTTCATAATTAGTTGAATCATATAATAAGAATATATCTAAAAACATGAGAAAATTTTTATATTTTTTTAATAAAATAATTTATACTTTATTCTGTTCATCAAAACAACACACCAATTCTACATATGTAGACTAATGGTTAAAACCCTATTTATCCCTTCAATAAACCCAATCATATATTATGTAAACATTTTTTTGTTCCCGGCTAATGACTTTATGTTGAAGCCGTATCAATAAATAAAAAATAAAACCCAATCATCCCAAAGGTAGTTGGCTAGGTTTCTTGGTAACATATTTTCTACACCAATATTAATAATAGTAGTTAGTTGATGTCTTGATTATGGGGAAAATCCTATAATTAAGTTTAGTATGGTGACATGAAAAACAAGCCAAATTGTTTGTAGAGCCGCAATAGGTTTTTTCATTAGATAAAGTGATAAGTACCCAAATTAATATTACTACATTATATAATATTAATAAGTATAAAACTTTTGCAAAAAATTATACATTTTTTAACAGAAGTATATTTTATAATTTAATTTTTAAATATTTAACACAATTATCATAGAATAATCTATAAATATTATTCCTCTATTTATTGCACACAATTTTTAGGTGATTTATTGAAATAGCTTAGAATTATATAGATGGTAACTTACTTGCTGCTTTTTACATTTTATTAATGCTTCATAAAAGCTTTCAAAAAACATTAAAGGATTTTTTGAATATTCATTTGAATACATTTTTGATGACCATTCCTTACGTAATCTGTTTTTATTACATTTTAAATAATATTTAATAATTTGATCTTGTTTTTCTAAATCAGTAAATATATTTACATAATGCTTTGAATCATCTGTAACATGCATTATAAAATATATTTTATACATTAAATTATTAAAACATATCAAAATTATTTTACACATTAATTTTTCATACCAATTTTTTCATTTTCAAAAGCCACATTAACCATTGGAATTAATATTACTTCAAGTTTGCTCTTTAACTCTTCCAACTGATTTTTTCTTTCTTCATAATCAGAATTATTTTCCAAGACTGCTAAAGAACGTTGCATTCTAATCAATCTATTAGTTACTTGGTCTATTTCTCCATTATCCATTAACTAAATATAACACATTGTCTAATATATTAATATTACAAATTAATTATTGTTATAAATTACTATTTCAATATCAGTAATAAGTTTTGTCCAATTGTCTGCTTCCTCCAAAGCATTTTTGGTAACTTCCATGTTACATTTGATTCCATCATACAATTGGAGTTTCAATAATGATTCACCAGTGTTACTTTTTACCTATTCATCAAATTAAAAAAATTATAAATATTTTTTGATATTAAATATTAAATTTAGTTAATTACTGTATTAATTTCTTGTTTTAAGTCAATAATTTTTTGTTGTATGTTTGACGCTTGATTTTCAAACTGCTCAATGTCATTGACAACTTTAGGTAGAGAAGAAAGAACTTGTGTTGTTGTTTCATCCAGTACCTCATGTACCTGTTCTACACATAATTGTAACTTTTTCAACATAGATGGAATAACCTATTTAAAAAATAAATGTTTGTATTTTTTTTATAGATTTCATTTTCATAAGTATAATCAATAAACAGTACCTAAATATATAATATAATATATTTATGATTCCCATCCAATATTGAAGCTATAAATAATAAATACTTATACATTATATAGACTTTATACACACCTCACGACATTCATCTGGAGGTTTGTCCTTTAATGTATTATTAATCCAATCTACAACGCTAAAATCTTTTTCTGAAAATGATGAAATATTCTGAAAAATAAATTTAGGTATAAATTTACAAGCTACCTATTAAAAAGCATTTTTTTTTTTTTTTTTTTTTTTTAATAAGTCAAAATTACCATTGTAATTGAATACCAATAATCCTAATCCCAAACTTCTGTGGAAATACTATTAAATCGTTATTAAACACTGAAATATAAATATTATATACCTAATATTTACTAATATTATACATAAAAATTACAATTAAGACAATGGTATTAACTATTTATCTAGAGAAAATAAAAGAATTATTAATTTATCACGGTGGCACGTATTAATTTAATAATCGTGGTCATCAATGATTTTTTAATTTATAATTCGTGTATGTGATTAATAAATAGCAACAATAAAAAAATTTACTATCTATGATACCACTGCTATAACAATATCACAATTATAATCAAGTTAAATTGATATGATGAGATTATTAACTGGTGCTGCCATCTGTAGCCACGATCTGCCGCTAATACTCAAGACGGCTGTTATCTTTCGATGGCCGTTATCACCTATCGGACATCCAGTTGGAACTTGAGTCTTGATGACTACATTGATATTTGCAATATTTTTATTATGCCTAAAAATTAGGATATTTTACCGCCGTGGTGATGCAACGATTGTTCAATACCACCACCGCTATGCGTTCCATGCAAATAGATAATTGAATCGGTTCGGCAATATTGTTGTGTACACGCACGCCATTTATTCCGCCGCAATAACCGCTCATTCAACAGCAGTTCCCATCTCCGTCCGTTGTCGGCGACACTGATGGTCGTCCACGCCCGTTACAGGTTAACATGATCAAGAGGTCCAACGCCAAAGAGATGTTCATCATACGCGCGTTGGAGAAGATTCTCGGGGACAAGGATGTCAAGAAGTCATATCATGCCGAGTTGAGGAAGGAATGCGAAGCCGCACTGCGTGAGTAATATTCATTTAATTGCAAAGGTGAATGCTTGTAACGCAGATGAATTGATTCATATATGTTTTCATAAATTTTTCTAGAGAGCATAAAATCTGAGTGCCAAGCTGAAGAGAAGACGGATGCATCGTCTGCCTTGCCTCTGCCCAAAGATGGCAGTTCGGCTATATCAGCTGAGAAATACTTCAGACCATTTGAATTAGCTTGTCAAAGTAAGTCGCCTAGAATTGTCGTTACTTCATTGGACTGCTTACAAGTAAGTCTTTTTTTACTCATTTTTTTCAATACTGACAAAAAGATTCATGAGTTAATTAATGCTTACTGATTGATGATTTCAGAAACTCATCGCATATGGTCACTTAACTGGCAACTGCACCAATGACACGGGCAAGCCACTAATAGATAAAATTGTAGAAACTATCTGTGATTGTTTCACAGGTCAACAAACAGATGAAGGAATTTTATTACAAATCATTAAAGTAAAAATATTTAAAATATGAATTTTTGATTTATTATATTATTTTTATATATTTTTTTCCAGGCACTGTTAACTGTAGTTACGAGTCAACATGTTGAAGTGCATGAAGCAACAATTTTAAAAGCAGTTAAAACATGTTATAATATTTATTTAGCTAGTAGAAATTTAGTTAACCAGACAACAGCTCGAGCTACTCTTACCCAAATGTTGAATGTAATCTTTACTCGAATGGAAATGCAAGCAATGGAAGTAGAAGTACCTAAATATGAGTCAGAAATTGTAGATTTGTGTGAAGTCGATGAAACAGTTCAGAGTGATGATTCAATTGATCAAGATATTGATGAAAACATTATTTATGACATTGTCAATGATATATGTAATACTGCTATACAAAGTATTGATCATAGCAACAAAACAAAAGAACTAGCCCAAGATATTGTAAGATCCATGTCCCAAGTAAATAATTGTTGTTTGTTGATCTTATAATTATTTTATTTATACTTATTATTTATTAATTATTTAGGAGAGTTTGGAAACTACAAATGAAGCTGAATGTAAAACAATTGCTTCTTTTAATCACATTTTACAAAAAGATGCTTTTCTAGTTTTTCGATCTTTATGTAAATTATCAATGAAACCATTGCCTGAAGGAACGCCAGATCCAAAGTAAGCTTTTGTTAAATACTTTGTTAAATAATTTGTTTAAATTGTTTATAACAACTTATTTTAAGGTCTCATGAACTACGTTCAAAAATCTTGTCTTTACATCTTTTATTATCCATTTTACAAAATGCTGGTCCTGTGTTTCGCACGAATCCAATGTTTATAACAGCAATTAAACAGTTTTTATGTGTTGCTTTATCTAACAATGGTACATCATCTGTACCTGAAGTATTTGAACTTTCATTAGCTATATTTTTATCTTTGCTATCACGATTTAAAACACATTTAAAAATGCAAATTGAGGTAAGCAAAAATAGAATTCATATTAATTTATTGTGATTGTTATGTTTAAAATATTGGCTTATAGGTGTTTTTCAAAGAAATATTTTTAAATATTTTGGAGACTTCAAGTTCAACTTTTGAACACAAATGGATGGTTATTCAAGCTTTAACGCGTATTTGTGCTGATGCTCAAAGTGTTGTTGATATGTATGTCAATTATGATTGCGATTTATCTGCAGCAAATCTCTTTCAAAGGTAAATGTTAAATTATTAATTAATAATTAAGAAAAAATTTTTAATTTTAATCTTTTTAAATATTATTGTTTCTTTTAGATTAGTTGATGATCTTTCTAAAATAGCACAAGGTCGTCAAGCAATAGAACTAGGTGCAACTCTAAATCAAGAAAAATCCATGCGTATTCGTGGTCTTGAATGTTTAGTATCAATATTGAAGTGCATGGTAGAATGGAGTAAAGATTTGTATGTCAATCCTAATTCTCAAACTAATCTGGGTCCAGAAAGAAATGTACGTGAGTATGATGCCAATGAGTCAGCCGTTACCCAAGACAGTCTTAACTCGTTAGATGGCAGTGAATCTAGTTTAACATCAAATAGTTCTGGTAACAAAGAAGCTCCAGATATGCCTCAACAATTGCAAGTGCTTAAACATCAGAAAGAAGTCTGGGAAACAGGCATACTTATGTAAGTCTTGATAACAATTTTATTGAAATCAGTGATTGGTTTAATTGGTTAAACAAGGATGGTGCCCAACATAAAATTTGAATTGAATAATATTGAATTTATGTACTGTTTATATGTCTTTATTGGCTAGTTAGCTTTTTAATGTTAAATTAAAGAAATTATTTACTATTTAATTTCTAGGTACAATTATTATCAAAAGCCCCCTCATAAATTTTTATTAATATTAACTTGGAGAATATTACAATTTTGAGATACTCATAAGTTAGGAACTTTGTCTGTATTTGTATGATGGCTTTTTCGTGATTTTTCAATTTCCAATTGTAATATTTTTTGTAATATTTTAATTCTTATAACATGCATAACAATGATTACTATAGAAAAAGACAACATGCAACTAATTTTGTTTATAATTATTTTTTTTCTGAATTTTTATCATGATTAAATAGCCATACAACATTAAATATTTATTTATGTTTTAATAAATTATTTTTTTTGTCATTATATGTGTATTTTTTTTTTTTATATATACATAATTGATATATGTCTTAGGACTCGACATTTTAAGAATTTTAAAATTAATTGAAATGGATACAGCTAATTATTGTTAGACATGCCTTTTTGATGTTAGAAAGATAGTTTAAAATACGAAAAAAAAACTGTGTATGTATATTAGGTAGCATTCCTGCTGTGCATAAGTTGTTTCAATTGAAAAATATAACCATAACAGCCACTTATTGAAATACATATTTTTTGTTGATAATTGATATATTTTAGGTTTAATCGTAAGCCCAAACATGGTATAAATTTCCTTCAAGAACAAAAGCTTCTTGGAACTAGTCCTTCTGACATTGCAGAATGGTTTCATGTTGATGAAAGATTAGATAAAACAGCTATTGGAGATTTCCTTGGAGAAAATGAGGACTTTAACAAAGAGGTAATGTTATAATTATTTATGGTTTATATGTCTTAAATCATATTATGTTGCATTCAGTATGCTATATCATTTATACAGATATTATTAACACTTGTTAATAATCTGTATATCTGTATATTTCTTTATTTATCATATAATAATATAATATGTACCAGTAAGCAGTTGATAACCAAATTTTATTGATGTATGAGCAACAGTATTATCTCAGCTTTATAATGAAAAGTATCTCAACACTTCACCTTCACAACATTTAATTTCAATAAAGTTTTTAAGGAAATAGTGGCTAAAAGGGAGTGGATTTTTTAATTTTTATCCCTATTACGCTCCAAGTATGTTCTGTGTGTGTTTAAATTAATAGTTTTCAGTCAATCTATGCTTTCATCTTAAAAATAAAATATCTACCTAATATGGAGGGGAAGAATACATGACCCTTGTGCTCTCTGGATAAGACTACTAATCTATATATTATATTATACAATACAAGATATTTTATGTTTATTATTTATTTATTTTAGGTTATGTACTACTATGTAGATCAAATGAATTTTGTTGGTAAAGATGTTGTTACAGCATTGCGATTTTTTCTTGATGGTTTTCGGTTGCCAGGTGAAGCTCAAAAAATTGATAGATTATTGGAAAAATTTGCTAGCAGATGGTTTGAGTGCAATCCAAAGTAATTATTTTATAGCTAAACATCTTTTAGCTATCATTAAATTACATAAAAAAAAAAAAACTAAATTTATGTTATGTTTATTCACAGTAATGGACTTTTTGACAGTGCTGATACACTGTATGTACTTTCCTATTCAATCATTATGTTAACTACAGATTTGCATTCTCCGCAAGTGAAAACCAAAATGACGAAAGAGCAATATATAAAGATGAACAGAGGCAGTTGTATATCTGATAATAAAGATTTACCTGAGGAATATTTAAGTAAAATATATGATGACATTGCTGGTCATGAAATTAAGATGAAATCAACAGTAAAACCGGGAAAACAATGTATGTATTATGCATAATTTAAACTATCTAAATATCGTTAATCTAATTTATTTATTTCATGTATTAGTAATACCAAATGAGAAGAGACGGAAAGTATTATGGAACATGGAAATGGAAGCTATAGCAGTAGCAGCTAAAAATCTTATGGAATCAGTTAGTCATGTTCGAGCACCATTTACTGAAGCTAAACATTTGGAACATGTTAA